TTGTGCACCCTGTGGAATATACCTCATTGCATTTGAATTTTTGAGTAGGGCGAAGCTTGTGGCAGGGCTGTTGTAGGCTTCCGGTGCGAGTCCTTCCACATCCAAGGGCAACCTGATCCGCATATCCAAGCTTCGCGCGCATCTGCATGCTATTGTCCATAGGTGGACTAAACAAGCGAAACTTAGAATGGCTAGGAAGGGGTAGGTAGAATATATGAATGTGTCTAGGTATAGGATGTAACCATCCACGGTGGCATTTATCGGAGGTAAGGTTTTGAAAGAAGTTGAGGCGCTCGAATCCTGCCTGACCTCCAAGCGGTTCTCCAGGTTTGCGATTAGAGCGCTTGTTAATGCCATATTATCGTGAAGTCCATCCAATATGTATGTTTCCATGCTCATATTACCGAAGGCACAGAGAAGGGCGGGCTCCAGGGTGTCGATTCGTTTGAGTACGCATAAAAGTGTGGCATGTTGTCCCCGGTGATCCGAAACTTCTTGTCTGTCCATTTTGTAGATAACCGCAGTCGAACTTCAGCCCATGAATAGTTGCACTGTATGAATTTTTGGGACTCAAAATTTCTGTTCTCTAAATTCAGAGATCCCCAACAGTAAGTCTGCGTTAGTTGTGGCGCGAAGAAACGGCTAGTTACGTTGATGCCAAGCTGACAGGGGTTGTTGAGCGAAACCAGGTTTTGAGGAGAAAGCAGCACTACTCCAAAATAAAGTTGCGGGAGGTTGGCCTGAGACTGCTTTGAGGCCCGAAATTTGGTGTTCAAGTCGACGAGGGTCCCGTTTGGACATCTGGCTTGCCTCCAAAAGTCTAACTGTATTGACTGTGACTCTGTCACAGCAATGTTGGAATGAACAGTGCCCTCGGGTAACTCTTTGCAATTCGCGATAAGCTTCGCTGCAGGAATCTCGGCGTACACATTCGACTGCGTGTCTTGCTTTGTATATAACTAACCGTCCAGAGTTCGGACTTCATCTCCGAAAAATGGATATACGAAAGATCCAAATGTGCCTTTCGGATAAATATCTTGCACATCCTTCTGCGCAAAGAGTGTTTGCAGTCTTGCTCGATTTTGCTGATAGATTTCCAGTGTGTTGTTTGTATTGTTGACAAAGCGGCTTTTTTGTTGTACTTGCACAGGTTCTGTGACATGCTGCATCGATATCTCAAGTAGGCGTGGGGACAAAGTGGTCAAGAGTCCGCAAGTAAGAGCCATAATCTGGGATATGGACACAAACGAGGCTTTCAGACGATATGATACCCACATCGCACGAAGGCCAAGCATATCCAACGCGGAGGTATCAATTTGCCAAGAGTTCAAAGGTGTCCTGGAAAGAGTCGACAATGGAGACAGACCTTTCCATGCCATGTCACAGGAGTTGACAAACAACGAAATGCCTAGACCTATGAGACCTGGTATGTAGAGAACTGCCCATACTTGGCTAGAAGAATGCTCAGATGTGTCAGAAAGAACTAGGCCAAGTTGCATGATAACTACAAGAAATGTGATAAGACCAGAAAGAAGTGCCGTGAAAGTGACTTGGATCCAGCTTTTGAGCACCAAAGGCGTATAGGTGTCTTGGAACCAGCGCTTGTTCTCAAGCTCGGAATGTTCGGCCGCAACCTCTGGATGTGTTTTGACGTACAACATCATCCCAAAAGTTGTGGCGGGATCTCGATACCATAACTTCGTATTTTTTCTCTGGAAAATGAGAATGCTACTCGTCATCAAAGCTATAGCTATGAACAGAGCAGACATTGACACAACATTCCCGTATCTGAGACGCATTGGTTGAGAGGATGTTTCTGAGCCGAATCCCGCGGTTGTGTGAGTTATGTTCTGTCGTAAATTGCAATGAGCAATAAAAGGGCCAAGTTTTCTGGTTAATTCGACCAGAGAATCTCGGAGCACATCGCTGGTAATACTCGTCGTATTTCGTTGGTTGAATACGAGATCTGCTTTGAGAGGTCCATGAATTGACTCCGTGCTAGCTTCAGGTGAACGCCAGCCGCCATCGTAGATTGGGATGGAAGATTCGAGTGTGTCCCGGACGTCGACTTCGATTGAATTATTAGGCTCCGTCGGCAGAATGATAACGTCCGGGGTGGTTCCATTATCGATGACTTTGACTCTCAACTGCCGCGCATGCATGAAACAAAACGTCGCAGCTACACTGTCCAATCTTGAGAGGAGAGACGACGAGTTTGACCGCCGCTGGCTCCAACTACCTAGAAGGTATACAAAAGACTTCTTGAGTTGTGGATACCCTGAACATGTGTAGACACTTGAGTTGAAGTTTTCAATCACCCAGTGTCGAAACTCGTTCTCAAGCGGCAAGCTCCTGCTCTTCTTCATTGGGCATACCTTGCTGAACAGGGAAAGTTGCCCGTCACAACTGTGGAAAGAGAGCGCTATTCTATAGCGAAAGCACAACTCTTCTCCCCCTGTAGTATTATGCGTTTGGACATCGCGTTCAATTTCCTCAAGAGAAAATCTGTCAAGCAACCGGCACTCAGTTTCCACCATGAGCCCATTGACATTGACTTCGATGGTACGCTGATATTTGCGTCGCTTCCCAGTTGCAGAGTCCACAAACTTTTGATACGCAGCGCTCTTGTCCACTCCAAACTCGTAGGACCAGCCCAGTTCGTGAACAGCTCGTGCCTTGTAATAAGCATCTAGCCTTGTGTCATCCGCATTGGCTCGAGAAGCGTTGGTAATATTGAAAGTATCCAAGGTCTGAACACCAATGGACTGCATAAACTCGTGCGGTGGATCGCTGGTAAATAGACTGCCTGCAAGGAGAATCTCAGCGTTGAGAATTAGGGCGATGATGGAAGACCACGATGCCATGATATGCTTTTTCCGTATTGAGAGAATCGAAGTCTTTGGTGTCCACATCGTCACGTAATCAATAGTTGGATCGAAGAGGCGCCCACTCTTAGCAGCCATCCAAGGCATGTATCTGAGTACTTGCAAATTGACTCTTCCCCAAAGAGCCGATAGTGTTGTCAGGACTGATGATCACGGATATTAGCAAAAGATGGCCTCCTCCGGACGACACGTTTCTGTCGCCGACACAAGGTAACAAGGGGAACTTACGAAGAATTAAACCAAAGAAAAAAAGGGTTTGGACGAAGTAAATGTCTTCGGAGGCTTCGCTGGTGTTCCTGAATATCCAAGAAATTACTGGGAGCCCAATGCCAAGACCCCAGAATATGCCAGCAAAGCATAACAGAACAACCGGCCGTAGCCAGAAAGGACGCCAGTCCCACATCTCGGCATCGCCAGAATCTCTGACTTCGTCGTTTTTATCGTTCTGCACAGCGATAGCCTCTGAAGTCTGATGGATCGCTTCACTCAACCCACCTGCGTGGGGGCTTTCATTGTTGATCCCAGCATCGTGGCCCACCTCGTTACTTCCTGCCATCTCATGCTCTTCACCATGTTCCATGCCACAGTCAAGGTTATTTTCTGGAATAAGGCGTTGGGGTTGCAGGTCGCCTTCGATTTGCGAACGGTCTTCCATGTCGTTATTCAGTAGTTGATCGGGTTGAGTGGATTCCGTCATGACCGAAATATTAGATAAGACAAGCGCTTTTTGTGCTCGGTCAAGACTTTTGATCGAACAATGAAGAAAGGGCACAAATGAGTAAAGATCAACAAGTTTGGAAGCTGGGCTCGCGTGGCTTTACATGCCTTCTCACCTATGTGAAGTATGCAGTGTTTCATTTTCAAGCAATGGGACACGAGAGACCTTTGAGTCACAACATGTGTGTAAGCTGTAACTACCACGGAACGGCTCAGCTCTTCGAGAAATGCAAGGTAGGATCAGCGTGTTCGTCTAAGTGAGGTAACCACAAGGTTTACAGACGTCGCCCAAGACGTCGCACAAGGCAGAGCAAGTCTGGTCTAGCAGCTTATCGTTTCACGTCATCTGTGCTGCTGCTGTCTTTGGTATTTGTCGGACATCCGTTGGATTCGTAGTTCATCTGAGCCCATTCGCAGTCTCACAAGGCAACTCCGAAGTACCAGCCATAGAATCAAGAGGCTGCAGCCTTGAAGTACTCTCATTCCCCTTATCGAAGAAATTGGTGTTTGATTGCTTATATTTGCATCTGATGTTGCTTCCGTTTTCATACTCGAAGTAGATAATCTTATGCTTCTTAAAGCGTCCATATTGAGTATGTAGACTATGCCTACTAGCTGCTGGGGTCTGGCCATTTCAATTTTGTGTTTCCTTGTCTTGTGTGCAGCTGAACACACGAGGATCAAAGGCAACACTTGTGCAACAAGCAAAAGTTTTCGCTACAGCTCCCGTCACACTTGTGGAACATAAGTCTAAGTAATACAGATGGGCACAGCAGTATTAAATTTTCAAATCATGCCAGTACCCAGCCAATCACCACACTAAATGCCAGTTAAGTCTAAGAACTAGGTGAGATTGAGGACGTAATACTTTCTGCAATTGTATATTATGACACAAACACAAGGACAGAAACAGTCATACAAGTACACGACGCATTAGTCGCAGAGAGGAAATGGATAAGTTGGCAGCGATGTACACGAGAAACATGGATTGTGTCACATATGCAGATCACAGAAAGTTTTTCACGCATGAAGGTTCAAGATTGGCAGGTGGACTGGGCATGAACACTCCGCAAGATTCAACACAGGAGCAGTAGCGCAATGAACTTGATGGGCGTAGAATTTTGATTTCGGGGCATGGGAACCGACACTTTTGGAAGTAAACAGTTACCAAGTTAACAGTCAACCACCAAAACCCTGGGAAATCGACCGCTGGTTTACTCCCAAACCCTTGGCCCAAGGTAGGCGGTAAACGCAACACTGTTTCCATCCCCAGTAGGCACAATTGATGCCATGTTATGCATACCCGTGTCTCTCTTGTCACCTCTGTTTTGTGGATGAATTAGCTATTATCAACGAACTTTTAAGCCCCTGGAAGAGATTCCACAGCAGGGAAGATACTCACAATGTGCACTGAACAGCTGCTTCCATATCATAGTTCCCCAACCCCTGCGTCTCCAGCAATCGCTGATACCGCCTCACGACCCCAGGCTCATCGCGCGCGTACTGCCAAATAGGCACATACATCTTCACATGCGGGACCGCACTGCCCGGCACCAGCTCAAAGGTGGGATTGAGCCCGCAGTACTTACTATCCGGCTCGGCGAGCGGCTTCTGCAGTCCGTCCCTCTCGGCCAGGGGAACGTCTTCCATATCCATGAGCAGGGGCCAGACAGTATTCAGAAACTTGGGTGTGGGGAGGCGGCCGCCCATCGTCATGACGTGCTGGGCTGATGCGAGCGAATTAACGTGCGTGTGGGTGTAAATCTTGAAGCGAGGCTTCATATACGGCGCCACCGCGTCGATTGCAAAGAAGTGGATGAGGTTGTCCTTGCCGTCGGTGGTGAGGAACGTCTTGAGCATGTCCCAGGCATCCAGCAGCGCCTTGTCGCCGTCAGCGAGACGTATCAGGACTGACTCTGTGATGTCCATGAGATCCCGGCCTGTTGCGAGCGCTTTCAGCTGCGGGAAGAGATACGTCTTCATGTGAATAGTCGGGCTCCCGTTCTCGTCGGCAGGCTCGAGATCAAACGCACAAAAGACGTTCTGCTGCGGCAGCGCGCCAGCCGCACCGCTCTTCTCAATCAGGCCGGCTTGTTCCTCATCCGTGAGGAAGACTGCGTCGAGAAAGGCATCCTGGCGCGTGCGGTCCGCGTGGCATGCAATCGCCATATCATCGAGCTTCTTACATAGCTCCTTCTGGCCGAGGAGGTCGTCATCCCTGGGGCTGTCCACCAGCGGCTGCACCGAAAACCGCACTTTGGCCTTTTTGCGAGGTGCGAAGGCGATGCTGATTTCGTATGGCGCATGGTCGTGCGTGCCGATGTATTTGGGCCAGTCGGCCGGGCGAGGCGGGTTGAGGCGGGGGACTACGACGTCGCGCGCGAAGTTGAGATAGTAGTCTTGTAGCTTGGCTGGGTAGTGGCCTGTCCAGCGCATGAGCGGGGAGAGGGTGTCGTGGAAGGTGGGAAGCCAGGAGGAGACGAGGGGTTTTGCTTCAGAATGGCCTTTGTTTGTAGAGGAGTGATCGACTCTGCTGTAGACGTTGGAGATGTTCCGTGTGGTGCCATTGGCGCCTGGAACAGCGGTAGAGTGGTGGATTTCAGTCATGTTGAGGTTGTTGATGTCCGTAATGGTATCCTACTGTATGTTTGGCATTCGTACCTGCGGTCTTGATTGCAATAGTAACCTCGACTCTCTGGCCATTTAACATCTTCACCTGAGGTCATGGCCTTTTAGACGGTTGCTTGGGGGTCAAATGCCGGCAAAGCCGAAGCTCGCAGTCAGTTGCCTCTTCAGGTAGGCCATGACAAAAAGACTTTAGTTCCCCAAGAGATCGAATGGCTTTTTAGATGAATTTAGCTCTTTAGAAGCAAAGTTCTCGCAGAGTGATTAGAAATTAGGTACGGGTCCGAGTGCAGGCGCGCGCACAAGCCGAACCAGTCAACAGGAACAAGGTTGATTTTCTCTACATGTGAAACTGGAACTACACAATAGCATCTTACCGTTCTTCGTCCCATCCGAACAAGCCGGCCTGACAGGTCTGGACTGGAACTCTGAAATACACATTTCATGCAGTACGGACAAACCCCAACAGGGCTAGGTCCCAAATGTTGACGTTCATACGTTACCAACTTGAAGGCTCAAACCTCACGATGAGGCCATCCGTAGAGAATAGATTCAGATGGACGATACATTGAGAAGGCTGGATATCATCGTCGCCAACCTTAGAGCTGAAGCTCTCGCAAAATCTCGACACATTTGCACGTAGTTATTTGGACCGCAACAGCTTTTGTGTTGTTCCCCATTCCCTGTAACACAGTATCATTACCCCTCAGCCACTGAATGCGAATACGGCCTTAGAACTCGGGCGACGGCAATTATGGGGATATCATAACTCAAATAACAGCGCCAAACCTAACAAGAGAGCACCACCCAACTTTTACTCCTCATCGCCATCCTCCTCAACCTCCTTAATCGCATACCCCTCCACGAACCCGTCCGGATCGCATACCTTTTCCAGACTAATCTTATTCGCCTGCACCCACGCCCAGACAGCCTCCTTGTCAACCTTCACCCTGGAGACATCGGGCTTCTCCGCCTCCTCCTCCCCGGCATCCTCCATCTCCACATCCTCGTCCTCGCCCTCCTCCCCGTCTGCCCTCAGCCTCTTCCGCTTCGCGGGCGGCTTCCCCGGCCCCGTGCCCCCCTCCACAACGACCCCCATCTCCCTAAGCGTGATCAGACAGTCCTCCAGCGTAATCCACGTCGCCTTGCAGCAGTCCTCGACATCGACCAGCAGCTCCCTCACCACTTCTCCGTTGTTGGTCTCGTTCGTCCCGCAGCCGAGCAGCCAGCGCGCAATCTCCCCGCCCCAGAAGCGCTTGTACCCCTTCCGGCCGAGCTCCGAGATGGGCTTCTCCGGCCCGCCGAGCACGCCCTCGCGCCGCGAGATCTCGTACGAGACGCCCATCAGCAGCGCGCCGAGCCCTTTGCGCTGCCACGGCGGGAAGACGAGGATGCAGGCCAGGTTGTTGTTGTCCCATGACATCTTCTCCTTGGAGAAGAAGCCGACGATGTGCGGGCGCGGGGGTTGCTGTTGTTGCTGATCTGCGGTGGCGGCGGGTGTGGCGGCCGGGTCGGGTTTGGGAGGAAGGGGCGTGTAGACGAGGAGGAAGTAGTTGAAGCCGCGTACGTCAAAGAAGACGGACTTGTTATCGAGGAACAACTTTGCGAATAGCGACAGGTTCTGGCAAAAGAGCTGTGTGATCCCAAACGTCAGTATGATATTCCACTCAAGGGGGAACGAAAAGGATAGAACTCACAACATCCTGCTCACCATCAACCTCCCATACACTCCACTCCCCCTCGTCCGTAACAACCTCCTCTGTAAACCTCGCCGCCACGTTCCCCTTCTTCCCGCCCTGCCGCGGCATCTCCTTGCGCACCAGCCGCCGCCCGCGCGGGTGCGTGTACACCTTGCGGCCGGGCAACGCCCCCGCGCGCTCGCACATCCGCACGTGGCCCCACCACGCGACGAGCTCCTTGGAGTACTTGAAGCAGACGGGGCACACGTACAGCCTGTCGAGGATCGGGGTGTCGGCGCCCTTGCGGTGCTGGTTCTTCGCGCCGTCTCCTGCTCCTGTGGCCGGCGGGTTTTTCCCTGATGTCGTGCCGGCGGTGGCGGCGCCGGACTTGCCGCTGACGGAGGCGTCGCCGAGGACCTCCTTGCCGTAGTAAGAGGGGTACCACGCGCGGAAGCAGATGTTGCCGAGGATGACCTTGTCGATGTTGCGGTCTGTACGCGGGGCGGATTTGTCCACCGCCCGGGGCGTGGATGTTTGTGCCTGCGTAGTTTGCGTTTGCGGTTTCGTGTGCGTTTGCGTCTGCGTCTGCGGTTGTGGTTTCGAAGGTGTAGGCTTCGGAGGGACCGGCGTATGCTGTTGCGACGGCGGCGGCGCTTGCTGCTGCTTCGGCGTCGAAGTCGGCGGCACCGGCACGGGAACATGAGTCACCGTCGCCGGTATGCCATGCTGGTACGGCTGCCTAGCCACGGGACGGAAGTGCGATGTTATCGGCGGCTGGCTCGTCGGCGGGCTGGGCCGCACGAGGCTGCCCCCCGAGCGGTGCGGCGTGGGCTGCGAGGCCTGGTACGTGATCTTGGGCGCGACGAGCGTCACCGGCCGGACGTTCTCCTTGGCCTCTTTGATGGCGGCGCCCATCGCGGCGGTGGTATCGGCGGCCGTGCCGCTTTGTCGTCGGCTCGCGCGGGGTTCGGGTGCGGCGGCGGCGGCGGCAGCTGGAGGATTCTGGCCTGCAGACTGCGCTGTCGACGACGATGATGAGGGCGGCACCGGAATCGGGATGGGTGTCTCGGAGATCTTGTGCAGCTGCGGCCTGGGGTTCGTCGAGGCTGAGGAGCGACGGCGTTTGTCCTCGGCGGCGGCGGCCTGGGACAGCGAGGTCGGGATCGGAGGGGGTAGGATCGGAGTTTGACGCGTTGCGCGACGCGTCGAGTCGGCTGCGCCAGCGACGGCGGCAGCGGTCGGAGTGGGAGCGGCGGCTACGGTGGTGGTGGTGGAGGAGGTGGGGGGCGGAGGATCCGGGTCTTCGTGGGGTCGTTTGCGCTTCAGCGGCGCCATGCTCGGGGCATGCGTGCTTTAGCCTTTTTTTTTCCCCCTCGTTTCTTTTTTGGCACAATTTAAAAAAAAGTGATCGGCCCGGTAATGGAGTGAGATGGGTAAAAATTCCGTGTGGTTGATCAATTAGACTTTGCGGTATCGTGGGCGCGGGAGTGACCTTGCAGGGGTGCGAATGATGGAGAAATGGCGTATTCGGGACCCGACGTGGGTGTGGGATCGGAGCACGCGCGTCGGCGATGGCCAGAGACAGGTCTCGCAGTGTGAAGAATGCGAGAAAGGGAATGATGGTTGAGAATGTGGTTTCACTGGGTAATTGGAATGCGATCGAGTCAAAAGCAGCCGGCGCTGGAATTGGAACGACCTGCGACGCGCGATTGGTGCTTCTCTGGGCGATCTGTTGATTGTTGACGGATGTCTCTCAGGGTCGTGTCCCAAGCAATGACGTTGGCGCTTATGTAAGTCAGGTGCAGGGTTTCGTCTGCTTACAAGCCTCCTCGCCGATAGGCAATTCTCCGAAGCCCTCGTTACATGCATTCCACGAGCTGTCAAAACTCACTTTGAAGAGTACTAGGTAAAAATCAATTCGCTTCTAAACAAGAGCCACGCTGAGCTCAAACACCGCCAACAGCAAAAGAATTAGGTCCATCCAGGATTCGAACCTGGGCCTACGGAAGAGACTGATGCGATCAGAATCCGACGTCCTAACCAACTAGACTAATAGACCTGAATCAATTGACTTATTGACAGAGGAGAGCAATTTTTCGCAACCTATGATTCGAGCGTCATCCGTGCGCAAGGTCATTCCGTCAATGCGACCTTGCTTCCGAGGCGGGCCCATGTCGCCCGACTGCATCACAACTTCTCCTCAACCATCTCGCTAATGGTTTTTCCCTATGCAGCATCCACGGTTCCCATTCAGTGTCTCCGTCGGGTGCGAACAGGACCCTGCGCATTCGCAATATCAACAGGTTTGCGTCGGGTGCAAAATGGACCCTGTGCGTTCATCACTCGGTCCAGAGTGTCGTCGTTCTCGTCCCAGTCCTTCACCAATGCCTTGAGCCGCCGGCGCGCGTAACCGGCATCGCGATTGCGGTACACCGAGTCAATTTTCCGCACGTCGGCTTTATCGTTCACGATCCACCGCCTCTCCTCATCCATGAAGCGGGAGTAAGTCATATCGCTGCCATACTTGGCTTTCACATTGGCCTCGAGATGCTCATCGACTGCCTTCTCGACGGCTTTTTGATCCTTGGTAAGCGCCCCCAATGAGTGCAGGTTGGGCATTGTCCGATCGGCTGACGGATTGAATCTAGGCTCCTTGATCGTCGTGTCTGGCAGGATAGACTCGGCATCGTAGTACAGCAGCAAAGACTTCAAGACAGCCGCGTCGATCTCCCGTAGGACCGGCGGTGTGATCGGGCAATGGCCGAGGTTCAGGTATTCGATGACCTGGTTCGTCGACAGGAGCTCAATGATGAAGGGCGCGACAGCGTCCTCGATGTAGTTCCAAGCTTGGCCGAGGTCCAAGGTCGCATATGCCTGACCAACGTCAAGGAAGCGAATCCTAGGATGCGATGCGACGGCATTGCAGATGGCAATGGCACCCGCCGTGTGCAGACCGGTTGATTGAAGTGACAAGCGAGTCAGTTGAGGAGCCTGACGAACGCCCTCGGCCAGTGCCTGCACGCCTGCGTCGCCGAGTGGGTTGCAGGACAGGTAAAGCGAGGTGACACCGCAGGCTGGAGAGCCCAGGAAAGATGCAAGCCTTGCGGCAGCCGTTGTCGACATACCGGTGCCGTTCAAGTAAAGATGTCGCAGGGGCAGCTTACGGCCGGAGGGATCGGAGTACATGGCCAGACGAGTGAACAACTCTGCGAGACCGGCATCCCCGAGCTCCGTTTGGTCAAGGTCCAGCGTGCGAAGGTTTTTCGTCTGGGTGATGAGTCGATAGACATCTGCAGCGGCCGCAGCGCCCAGCGGGTTGCGTTTCAGCCAAATGTTTGTGACGGCGTCGGACGTGACCATGGCATCGACGAGGATCTTGAAGCTGGGGGCGTCGATGCAATTGCCAGCGAGATACCAAGTGTCCATGCGATCAGGCAAGTCTTTGATGAAGCGGGCAATCTCCTGAGCGCCAACCGGGCCAATGATGTTGTTCCCCAGCAGGAAATGTCGGACGAAGGGGTTCGGCCGTAAGCTGTCCATCAGGCTGCCGATGTGGTCTGGGCCAACAACCATTTTGCAGAGGTCCATGCGACCATCCTCGTAGACGACTCCTTTGCGGAACTCGGCGCCCTTGACGCCGTAGTATGGCTCGCCCTTGCCATTATCGAGGTCAGCTCCAGCAGAGTTTTCGTCGAGCTCGTGGGTGCCGCCGAGCTCGAGGTGGTCGAAGAAGGATGCCAGGTCGGCGGCGTCAGCGACGGCGACGGGCATCGGGATGGCCCTAGGGCCAGCGGTCGAGACGGGAAGTTTTGACGGGTCCCACGGGCCCTGAGCAAGGATCCGGGATGACCAGAATGGGGCATGCACACCGGGAGCCGCTCCGCCAGTCAAGCCGCGGAAGCTGTGGCCGTTCCGTTTGGTGGCGGCAAATATGTCGTACTTCCGCTGCAGTGCGACCCACGCGCGCAGTCTCACACGAGCAGCGTCGTACCGGATCACGGAAGACAGAGCTTTCTCGTGGGTGGCGGGATACAGCAGAGTCGCAATGGCAGATGCGAGGGAAGATCGCGTAGATTTCCGGCGGGGCAAGCCGTGCAACTCGTCGGGGATGCGAACTGTGTCAAGAGGAAGGGCCAGAATCTCGTCTGCGGTGAAGGCATATGAGTGGTTGAAACGGGGCATCTCTGCGTCTAGCAGGTTTAATGCCTCGCGGCAGAGGGGAGCGAGCCGGATTGCCTCTTCCATGTCGGCGACGGTGACATTGTCCGTGTCACCCATGCTGGTGGCTGGCGACATGCCATAGGGCTGATTGGCACCGATGATGGACGGCGTTGTCAGTTGGACAGTAGCAGCGGCGGCCATTTCGTCGTTTTTGCTGTCCTTCGGGTTCTGGTGCGAAGTCTCGGGTTCCGATGTTCTTTGCGACGTTGCGTGTAATGTGGATGATTCAATGTGCTTTTTTTTGATAATGAATTTGTAGTATTGGCTGATGATGATGCCAATGCCAATGCTTATGCCGATGCCAATGGTGTTGATCACTCGAGGCGATTCGACAGTCTTATAAGCTGGTTTGGTGATTTCGCCAAAGTACAGAGAGTAATACTCATACGTCTGGCCGGCAATGAGTCAAACGATGGAGGTTCTGTTATGCTCGACGTGCTTCTCCGCACAGGCAAGGCGTTCCTCTGGGCTGATGTTGGTTCGCAAGGCTTAGGCAGGTACACCAAGGATTGACTTCCAGGCAGCCGCTCGATTGTCCAATGAGGAAGGCGCATGGCTTCCATCAGGGGGCAAAGGGCCCCGTCGCTCATGTCGTCGATGTCGTTCATGTCAATGTCAAGGGCGCAGTTGACCACTTTTTGACAAGAGACCAGTCATAACCTGGGCAAGATCCAATGACATCGGATGGAAGGTGCGAAGGTGGTTGCAACCCACCGTCACAGTTGTCAGCATTGGCAGCGGCGACAATGACAACGATAGCAACAGCAGCAGCAGGTACAGTGTAAGGTAAGGTAGGTCGAATGCTAGTGGAGTTCATCGGGGACTTTTGCTCACCGGCCCCCACCTGCCATGAACTGATGGGAAACCACCATTAGGTCAAGTTGGAAAGTGGAAAGTGCGACTTCACGGGCAGGTGCCTCATGGGATTGGGAGGAATGTACCTGGCCCTTCCTGGAAGGTGTCCAATTGTTACGCTGCAGGTGCAAGTGGCTGGCGCCTTCTGTATCCGTACGAGAGAAACATCTGTGGCGGGGCTCTCGCAAACGCTGCGACCTTGCTGCAAATTCAGCCACACGAGGTGAACCACTCTTTTCTTCCACTTCCACCTCCCATCACGCTGCACACTGCACACACGACAAGCGACGGGACAGACAGGCACACCAACACATGCACCACGACGCTGCCCCTGGACCGCCTCACCACCACCTCCATCACGTCGCTTGCCGCGTCCTCCACACACACACTCACAGCTCTCTCTGCGACTCGGGTCCCGTCAGGTCTCTTCCCACCGTACCACCCACCCTCGCACTACGGAGTATTCCCAGGTCTTGCTTCTCGCCCTCCCACACCAAAACATCATCTCGGAGCTTTTCAGCTGCAACGCAACTCACTCAAAAGCAAACAACCACGGTCCTCCAGGTCGCATCACATCTGCCATCACCTCTGCCACGCAGTATCCGTACCCTCCCTCCTGTCTCTGTCGCTTCTTCTTCGCGCCTTGCGTTGCACTGCGTCACGTCGCAGCCGGCACTTTGCGTCCCTCCGTCCCCGTCTCCGGCCGCTGCCCTCCGCTGTTCCGCTGCAACCTATCACTCCTGCTCCCGTCCCCTGTCGTTGTATTTCATGTCTCGTCGCCATTTAACATCCTTTGGCAACCTGTCTGACTCTGTCACGGCTGACCGCGGCTTCCAGGAATCCACCGCAATCAATCTGTGTAACACATGGCAGCCCGCCCTCCACCACGTCAATAAACGCCGCCCGTCACGTCGCCAAACACTCAAAGCTCCAACGTGACTGGCCTGCAGAGACTACCACTGCTATATACCACGCTCCCTGCGGTTATTAATTTAGCACATCTCTGATTCGCGCGATGCCATTGTCTCGTCCTGTCTCTGAGGGTCTCATATCCCGGCGCTCGGACGACCATCTTTGCTTTTCCTCGCCTTGCTTCTTTCAAGACGCTCACGCCATGTTCCCGTCTCTCATCCAGCGGTGAGCAGACTACGGATCCCGCCGCCGACGCTTTTTTCATTTTTTCAAACGTCAGCCTCCCGAGACTCCATTCCTGGCTTTTCGGGACGCCCTAACCGAGAATTCAGCGCAAGCGAACAAATCTCCAGGCGAATGTCAGACGAACAACGCAGCCGTCATATGCATCCAACGCATCATCGCATCCTGGTCTTGTTGCCCCGCCCTCCCTGTTCGGATGGACTTGGCTTGTTTCGTGCCGCCACGCATGGTCCAAATATGATATATCGTGCAGTTCCGCGCCTGCAGCCCGCTAATGGGGGTGTGAAGGGCCTAGAGGGGGGCCAACACCCGGCCACTCACAGGCCCTCGAGACCAACTTTGCTTTTGCCGTCATCCTCCCTCGGGCAGCGACGCATGCAATCAATCGGCAATGCCACAATTTCGGCCGGTTGACACGAGGCTCTGAACCGGCCAGCAGCACGCGGGAGTGGTTGCCGGGCTCCTTGATTGGTCTTTACCTTGCTTTTTGCATAAGCACAAGGTCGATCTCTCGGGAGGCATGCAGGGAGGTGACAAGGGCCATCGAGGCTGTGGAAGACACTTGCGCACACTAACACACGAGATGGTGTTGTGTCTCCCAAGTGCCCGGTCAGGCGGGGGCCATTTACCTCAGCGCATACCATCGACGAGGATAGCCCTACCAACTCCTCCTCCAAAGTGTCGTGCGTTGGATGCGAAAGAAGAAGAAAAATAAGGCCCTTGGTATGTTGGCTGCTGAGGGATTGGCTGCTGCGGGGAGGACGCAAGACACCATGTCTCGGTGTGCTCCAGTTGGCTGACCGCTCCCCCCCTTTGGACCGATCGTTTGGTTGGTCTTCGATGGAGAGCATCTTCCGTATATATGACCAGTCCGCCGGCAAGTGTGCGGCCCATGTTGGCTCTTTTCTCACGGGTTCTCTGCTTCCGAAACTCTTCTTCTTTACGTTTTTGTTTTTGTCCTTCAGCATGTCCTCCATGTATCGCTCTATGCCGCGAAGGAATATCGAGGGACAAGTTTCCCTCGCCAAGTGGCCCACTGTGGCTCGCTCTCCAGCATCTCCATGGGACATAGACGAATCAACGGCCCACACAGTCAGTAAACTCAACTCGTACTTCGGTTTCCGCCCTCCAACGGGATACGCCAAGTCAATATACGGCACGCCTGACGAGACTGGATACTCCCCAGACATTACCCAGCTGTCCGCAGACCACACGCCTGAACTTCGCCACGATACGCCATCGGAGGTGAGGACAAGGACGTCGTCTTTCGGACCCGAGACACCGCCAACCAAGTTCGATCCGTCCTTCACCTCTGATCCGCATGTGCAGCCTTTGACGCCGGCACGGCACGGCCCTTCCCACCTCCGGTCGTACTCCGACGGATGCAACCTGCAGAGCTTTCGGTCCGATCGAGCCGGCTCGGAAACGGCAGACTACGACTACAAGCGGCACTCGCATGCTGCCCTGATGCCGCAGGCTGAAGAGGGCCTTCACCGAGCCTCTTCTCAAGAACCCGCCTCTCCGCATCACAACTACACTGTCAATCTTACGCGAGACAACAGAGCCGTCACTCTCTGCTTGACGTCCGGCGGTTCCCCAAATCGGATGGAACCTTCTATTACATGCTATCGCCAGACGTACCTTCCCTTAGGCGGCCAGTATGCTGAGTTTTTCAAGGCATCCGAGGCCCTGTCCCTTCTTCAGCACATGGTCAACGCACCGTCTCAACCCTTTGTCCCTTTCTCCAGACGTGAGCGGGCCGACTTGATGCTTCGCATGCGCAACACCCCGGAGAGCATGGTCCTCGGCGACCCTTGCTCCAACGCGCGCGCGTGGACAAGCTTCTTCGCCGCAGAGCTCTCCGCTGGCAGAGCCTGGGAGGCTGGTACCGTCATTTTCCCATGGGCAGTGCTTCAAAAGCTCATGAACTCGCTCAACTCCGAGTGTGGGCGAAGGCGGCGCATGCAGACAAGAGCAGCTACGTCCCAGTCCAGAAGAGATATGGACGAGCCTCTCGGGTCGCGTGGACACTTTCAGAACAGCCAATCACTCGAGTGCCGCACCGTCTCTTTGCGTCTTTCGGAGACCGACAACCGTGATGCAGTAGGAGACCACAACTCTGTGTCGTCCGCCTCCCCGCCGCCCCGCACACCGACGGATCCTCACCCGCCCGCACGCATTCAGTTTATGCGGGAGCGGGGCAAGTCACCGCTGTCATTATCAGCCGGCCCCATCCGGCGCAGGCGCCAGAACTCCGAGCCTGTCCGGAGATTGAGTCTTTCTCCGCCCCGCATCGCGCTGCTCAAGTCCAACCCCTGCCGGCAGAACCTGCGACGTCTCGCCGCTGCATCAACACCTGCGCGACTCGTCTTTTACGACTCGATTCGCTCGTGGCCTGCCAGCTCGCAGCGATCGCGCGTGAGACTTCCGCCGTGCTCAAAGTTCTTGGAGCTTACGGCCGACCAAGGGACCAACCCCCACAATCCCATCGTGCTGTGAAGGATCCTCATGTGATCCGTATCCGGTGTGGTGCGACACACCCATTGGCCATTCTTACTTTTTTTCTCTTCTTCTCGAGTGTCCTTTCTTTTTTTCGGGGACTTTGCATTGGCAACGGGGATGCGTAGACAGGGGGGCTTGCTCGGCTTGTACGCTGAGAAGGGCAATGATGCTGCGGGCGTCCAGGGGTAAACATCTAGACGGACATTGGCTTTACTTGTTTTTTCTCTCTTGAAGACATGGTGAACGGTTTATGAGACAACGGGATATGAGAAAGGATACGGGATATGAAAGAAAATGATTTCGGGGTCTGAACACAGGCTTACTCCGTACTTAGCATTTAGATTAGGGGGGAGGGTCTTCATGTACACATGCATGACAAAAACGGCGTCTCGCTGGGCGATTCACTGGATGAGAAAGGGACTTTGATGTATCATGACAACATGCTTCACTAGGCATTTCGTATTCGATGTAACTTGGTCCGGGGACCTGCTGCTGCAGGCTCCGGGCTGTGTAAACACTCTTTGAGAATAGACTTATCGGCGTGCTGGCTGACACTTGGGCGTCCGCGTCCGGGGTCTGGTTTGTTGGCCGTGATGTTTCATGTAGAGCGAGATGCACGCGCGTTGCTCGGAGTTAGACGTGCAGGATCGGACTGGTCGTTTTTTGTTTCAAGCCGGGGGGTGTTTAAGGCCGAAAGGCGTTGTGTGAGTATGATTTATGACCAGAATCGGCTGCGGCCGTTGGTAGAGTACTGGATGTGGTCCGTCATTGGAGGCTCGCATATGCTTCATCGCTGTCGGGGTCCTTGGGACCATGGCCTGGTACCCTCGGACTACTTGACCAGGGTATATTCGGGTGACTGTCCCTGAGGTAGGAACCGAGAGAGGTAGGGGATGTGGATGGCAATGGTCTGAGGTCGAGCATTCGAGGCGATGCCGCAGCACCGAGTTGCTGCGACTCGTCGGAAGCTTGCAGACGCATTCAACGTCGGGTTACGCTCGAGAGGTGATCCTCAAGCGGGATTGCTGTTTGGAAGGTTTCTGGCCCATGTGAACTTGGGGTTCCTTTTAAAGCAGACGTGAATGGCAATGTGGGTGCCACTTTGGTGCACGCTAGATCATGGCGTCAGCGCCGCGTCGAGGGGTGAAGTGCCTCCTGGCTCCACGACTGAAGGCAGAGAGTATGTAATGATTTGCTTGAGCCATCCCGGCCCTCTCAATCAAGAAAATAAGCCAGTTGGTCCTTATTAGCTAGTTCCATTCCACCAGCCACGGGTGAATCGTTTGGGCGGTGCCAAGTGCTCTATCAAGGCCTTTTGATCAAGGGGAGCATTCTGAGTAAACAACTGACGGCACTGGAATGAATCATCTGTGGATACACGAAAAGAGATGCCGCGGCTGGGCGATAAAACACTCAATCAAGGGACTAGAGTTCAGCGACAAGTGATCGAGGTGGGATTCGTGTATCCGAGGCGAGAGACCTCGTACATTACGTCTCTTGCCTTGGTTAACGGGGTCACAAAGGTGAGTACATTTCATTCCCTGCTGTCTGCTTCTTTGGCCCGTGGCAGAGCTCTGGACGCTTACATACACATGTGGATGTTCGGGTGTGTGGAGAACTAGGTAAGGATGAAGGCGGCCGAGCTACTGCTTTGCGGGATCGGTATAAATAGGGGGCAAGGGGGAGTGGCTGAACCCTCGACGGCACAATTGTCCGGTATTCTCATCTTTTACAGCACAAAAGCACACAATAAATGGTTAGGCTTTTGTGCTGTAAGTTGCGAACAGCAATGCGAATTAGAGACTTTGTTTTCTCAACGGTGGTAGTTTATTTGGGTTGTATTGACTGGGCGAAGACGACGGACATTGAGGGATAGTAGCTAATTATGAATATTGAGCTTCTTGTGCTGATGGCTTTGGTTCTTGAGCTCGGGTTGAATCAATTTCCTCGCAGGTTGATGCAGGCCATCTTCTGAATCATAAATTACCTCGTACCACCCGATTATGGTTGGTGTCTTGCCAGAAGCACGCTGGACGACTATATATATAGACAACCGGACATCGACATAGGCGTGTCATCGTCTGCACGACGCTCGAACGGCCTGAAATGGGAAAGTAGGGGGCTTCGGATTGTGTTGCGAAGTATTTATTCGACGAGAATGGCTTATACGATATTTCAGTAAGCGAAGGAAACGATTGCATTGGATTCATTTTTGTAGCTTGACGGTCTGGAATCGATCGAGCTAGAAGGCCTCTCGATTATTGATCTCTATGGCAAGCTATCTATCTGCGAACTGTATGTCGGAGAAGTCTGCCGATTATCCCCGGGGTATGCATGAATGATACGTCAGGAAGAGTGACGTTGCGGAAGGATGAAGATGGGTGAGCCCTCTGAGTTGGTCATGAGGCCAACATTCATGGAATGTTCGAAATAGCTCCTCAATCCATAAAGTTTATCCATGAGAAGACTCGATGCAAACCGTCATGAAGGGGGATTCATATTGTGCTGGGCAATGACTTGAGCAGTCGCGGGCCGATCAATTCATTTAGGCTTCATTGAAGTGAAGTAAACCCAGATCAGCTCGTTTTATCTATAAATTAATCGACCAGACCCCCGTAAACCTTTGCCTGAGACACCCAATGCATTCTACAGGTCTGGGATTGCAAATTCGCTCGTTGGCTTGCGGAAACCTAGACTTTTAAGCCTGACAAGTGGTCAGGAACATAACCTCCCTTCTTCGACTGGAAATCCGGGAAGACTGGCGCATGAGAATCATGTTCGATGAGTATACAAGCGATTATCGTAAAATTGTGGAAGATTCTAGAGACCAAAGGATTCCCATCACAAAAGTTGATCACTGATGTTTCTGGCTCTCTGTAGGTAGTCTATGAGCTGGGCTAATACAGACCAAACGCACGATCTACAGCAACTTCTCTGTCCCCAAGAAGGTACGCTTTTGAGAATTTGATTGTGGAGTAGTTGATTTCATCTTCCGGTGCAAATGCAACCTAATTTACACGCCACAATCTCACCGTTTACCCTTCATTATATTGCGCAGCTTCGCAGGATCTTGCGGTCGTATAGTCGTCTTCCACGAGACTGGCACCTGGTCGTCTATATGCAAGTAATGGACGTAATGTCCATCCATGTATGCGGATAAACATGACTTCCCATTGCATTGGCTGCCTTATTTAAATACTACTTCCACCCCCAATCCTTTAAAAGACAAGCCAAGCTTGGTATAAATTGAGCAGGATCATTTGTTGTTCTAACCTAACCTGGCTGTCCCTTACCTGATTTCAACAATAATATCCAAAACGTCGCTCTTGTCTGCTCGAAGTTTTGTTTGAATCCGGCCTCTCATGCCATGCACTTCCACCTTGGTCTTAGTTGCATTTGACTTATACCGACCCGCCTCCATTCCAAGCACTCCCACCTGGTGCAGATCAGCGTTCTCGGCTGCCTCGAAAAGACTGCGGTTCACTCTTCTGGCCGAACCCACACAAACCCATGCTTTACCTTCGGGGCCGATTCCGCATGCCACAACGAATGATAAATTAGTATTACCCCCATTTGCATTTGTTAAGTTTCGAGTGCAGATGACAAAACCTTCAAACCTGTCTACACCCTGTGTAATAAACGAATTCTGCTCTTTGCTCCAATTAAGGGCCGGCATGGCCTTGCCAAAGTTGACTTCTCCCTTGGCATGGAATTGAAATGAGCGATGGAACATAGAACTCAATTGAGAAGTTACCATCGACCGCTCATCCCAGTCGATCGACTTTTTGATGTAAAACGTCATGTCGTGTCCCTGATTGTCGCCTGGCCATTGTATGCGAGAATTGGCATTCCACCTCACGAACACGCCACCGCCCACTTCTCTGAGCAAGATACTGATGGCGTGTCGAGGATGACTGTCGGCCGCGCATCCCAAAGAGATACGCCAAATGTGTTCTCGTGTGACTGCAGCTCCTATTGTGATCTTCAAACCCTTATTGGTAATGGTGAACTAGAAGCAACATTAGCTTTCTGCAAAAGCTGATTGACAGGTTAGATATATTGCAACCAACCTACCTCAGGATTATACTTGGTATCTCTCCGTAGAATAACGTCATGTGATAGGCGGAATTCATCAGGAGAAACGGCCAAGACTCCACAGGGCTCTTCCGGCAAACCTGGCCTTGTTGACGATTCGAGTCCGTTCTCTCGGCTCTCGATCTGCCACTCCAAACGCGTCCACGCGAATAAAGACAAGTCATTGGACTCCTTGGCAATCTCTTCTTGTAGACGAATGAATGCACGACTTCCCTCCCCGTAGAGCAAGGGCATATTGACGCTAAAAATTCCCAGAAGACTGTAAGTGCGATCTTCTTCACGAGTGGTTGTACGTCCTGCAGCCCAAGACATCCTACGGGCTACTGAGTTGCGCGCTAGAATTGTTTTTATGTTTCGAGCTTCTGACGTTTCGTCGAAAATCTCCCCGACAATGCGTGTACGCTTTTGGATGACCTGCCGAAGTTCCAATCGTGTCCCAATGCGTTTCCAGTCCTTGTCAAAGAACTCCATTCGAGCGGGAGCGATGAGTTCCTGTAAGGTCCATCCTCGAGTAAACCAAAGGGAATCTTCAAACGGTTCCCCGAGCGTGATGTCGGATAGATAAGTATAGCAGACTGCCGACCTCGCGTACCACTTGAACATGGAGTTGATTGCCTCGGTAAGCTCTGTGAGGTCCTCTTTGTTAATGCAGCATGTGTCGATCCAAACATATTCATAGCCGTTGTCGAGCGCAACGCGACAGAAGTTGTCTATTTTCTCCCAACCGGCCTTCTGTGCGGCAATCGCTGGGGTTCGAAAGTCTTTGTAGATGACCTCATCATTTTCCCACCGGTGTGACAAAATAGCATAAGACTTAGAGATAGCAGTGCCAGAGAATTCTTCGATCTGGCGGGTTCGGCAGTTAAGAAGCTTCATGGTGTCTTATTGGCGTTGTTGCATTGTTTTGCCCAAGATTGTAGCCGGGGAAATGGGTAGATGAGTCTCGACTTCCCTAAAAGCATGCATAGAGATATCGGGCACCTTTATTTATCCCTGAATAAAATGACATACCAACGTGGCAGCAACCATGGCGTCGCTGCTTTGCCACTAAGAGAGGGCTGAAGAAGATGCAGGTTTGTCCAATCCGAGGTGATCTACAGTCTGTTGGGTGCCTGTCAGCATGCTAGTACAATTGCAGCCCAGCCATGGACTGCGCTCACTGCGCCGATGATACGCGAAGAACTCGGCAGAGCCTACAATTCGCAGGAAAATGTTACGAACTTTATTGGAGGATTAAGAAGCAGTGTGCATGTGGCTCAGGCTCCAAAGCCCAAAATTCAAATCAATTGACACTGGCCATCTTGATTCACTTCAAGATTACATCTCTCGGAAAACTACTTGCCTCAAAGTATCACAACCATTTTCGGCTGACTTGGAGTGAGTGACAGGCATCAACCAGTGTCCGTTCCGTTTCGTCGCACGAGAACCCAACCCGCTTTCCATGTGTTTTTTATGAGAAAGTCAGGAAGACATTGAAATAGAATACCGCTACAAGAAAACTCTCGCCAACTAAAAGACAGCTGTGCCAGTAGTCAAGGTCTGCATTAGTAGGAGAAGCATGCACATACGTTGTGCAAGTAATGTTATTTCACGAGTCTTTGAATTAAGAGCAAGAATTCCCTCGGTACTCAAGTCATCAGCTGGTCAAATTAAACGAGCGAATGTTCAACTCATTTTTCTACGCTTGAGAAACGGAAGAAACCTTCGGGACCTTGCAAGTGCCGAGGATATGCGAAGCGTGGAGTTGGAAGAGGAAACTGGCACGTGGACGGCCACAGTAGCCGGTGCTCGCCGAGTCTCTTTCAACACAAGATATATGAAATGTTAAAGTTGGGATTCATCAAATTTCTGCCTTAGAGGTTGCTTCATTCAAAACCCTCCTAGGTAGTCTGCCTTGACCGAGCTTCACGTACCTCATGACTCGCCGACATCTGGCCTTGAGTTTCGCGTGAGTGTCGAACCTTCTCAAACGAACACCACCAAGACAAGCGCAAGAACAGCTGTTGTCTTACCCAAACTCGATTCCAGGATCCGTAGGCTTTAAAACAATGCTATTCCCACAACCTCATAGGACAGTCTGGCATCTCCCAAGAACCAGTCCGCCGGAAATAGGGGTTCACTCGGCACTTGCATGCAACTGCCCAGGACCGGGGTTTCAAAATAGACTTTCTGAATAGATTGCGCGCCCGCTCTTGAGACACGTCCCCGGGCAGCCCGCAGTCACGTCAGCCCCAAAAATTGACATTCGACGGGTGGACCGCACAACACTCGTCATGAAAGGTTGGGGCAACGCTGCTCCCCCTTTCCCGGTGGTGGGTGCTGTGCGGTGAGATATAACTGCCCGACGAATCCGCCCATGCGTGACGCGCGCGGTGGTGGATGCGTTCATCGCAAGTTTCACTCACCACAGTCACTCGTTCCCACGCGCCAACGTCGATCCGCCGATCAATTCGACTACGATCCAGAATCCCATCCGATACCTAGTAACGTCTTACGAAGAAGGAATTCAAGATGGTCAACTCATTCGTCAAGCTCGTCGCCTTCGCTGGCCTCGCATCCGCCGGAATTCTTTCTCCGCGCCAGAATACCACGCCCGCTGTTGACATCACGGCGCTGACCAAGAACGTCACGGCCACTTCCGGAACCGGCGCCGTCAGCGCCGCGGGAACTTTGTCCCCCTTCGGAGGTATTGGAGTCGGCTGTGGCATCAACTGGGCTGAGGGCCAGTCTTTTGGAGGTAAGTTGGTGGTCAAGCTGGGACGGAGTGACCCGGCTCGGACGATGGACTCGGGACGGAAACCGAGGGACGCATATCGCGTTCCCGGAATTCTCTTCTTACAACAGAAATACTAAGCGGATTGCTTGACAGGTGGTCTTCAATCCGGCTCGGACTCTTTCGGCCTCGGCGGCGGATTCACAATTACCAAGGACACCATGAACATTGGTCTTGGCATCGGCATCAACCCCATCAAGTTCAACTCCAGGTAAGCCTGCGTCGCAACCATGTTATCACGAGTGATAGCTGACAACAAGCTAGCGTGAACTACGAAGCTTCAACCAACGGCACTGTGACCATGACCTTCACCTCCACGACGGCGATCAAGTGTGAAGAGACCACGGTTGATGGCGTCAAGGGTGTCAAGTGTACTTCCTCATAGAGAGTCTTAGCGATGCAGCGTTTTTAGACGTCAATAGATATACCCTTTCAAGACTTCCAATTCATACAGTATGCTCCGCTTTTCCGTTTCTGCGATGGTGTGGTGATGAGAACTTCAACGTCCGTAAAAGTCAGTAGCCGCCGTAGAACAAGTGTTTTGTTTCATCTAACCTGCCGAGCTAGCGTCCTCGTTCCGCGTTCATCCAGTTCATACGGATGCGAATACACGAAGCAAGGGTATCTATCAGGCTGTGGACGACCAAAACTACCACCCACCATTATTTGATTTTCCAATTGTGTGACAGAGTTTTGGCCCAAACCCTCTAGCCACAGACACCGGCATTGTTGCGGGGTTGATAAAGGTAAGTATGCACCACATTCAACTCATACAGAGAGACCAATGCCTCTGAATGCCACCTGGGTGGCACTCAACTAGATATATGACAGCAATGGCAATATAGGGTGCTTCCTACAGCGAAACAGCCAGTCCAATCTTTCTGATGGTAGCTTTCTGTGATGGCTATAAGGTTCGCTTCTGTGGAAATTCAAGCTCATCACGATCATGGTTTTCAAGACACTGTGAAAGTAATGTTGCTTGTTGATCGTCCATCTTTGTCGCTGTTTGTGGTTGAAGAGGGGCGTATGTATCGCTAAGCACAACAATACGTTGCCTTCATATAAGCCTTGCCGTCAGTAAGTGCGCCTCCTGACCCAGCAAGACCACGATATCATACCATAGGGGAAAAATACAACGTCAGTCAATCTTGAAGAGTTTTGCTAGTCGGGCAGTGTTCGTTAGCTGTCCGGGTAGTGTCCCCTATAATTCGTGATTACAGAGAGAACGATAGAAGTAGTAGTAAGGATAACGATAACGACGATGACGACGATGATAATAATAATAAACGACGACGAAAGCGAGAATAGGAAATACAATAGTCGCTTTAGAAACAGGCTTCGGATTATATATATGTGCGTAGACACTGCCCGGATAGCCAAATGACACTGCCGGACTAGCAAAACTCATTTTGAATTGAAGATCGGCGTCTCGGTTGAAGAGAGGAAGGAGGCGTGAACCAAAAAGCGGAAAGAAACGAAGGACAAAAATAAAGAAAAAAAGATGGTCCTGACCAGGCTTGAACTGGCGAGCCCCGCCATATCTGACGCGATATCAGGACGATGCTCTGACCAAACTGAGCTACAGGACCTTTTCGTGTTTGTTGAATGACCAGCCAGTAATTCAAACATATGAAGGGAGTCCATGGTCCTACGTGGTTGACTCATAGTCTCGAAACATCGAGGTCTTGAGATTTGAGTTTGGGTTGACTCACAGGTTATCCGGGCGGTTGATGTAGGAAGATAACAGCCTGCGCCGACGCTCACAGGTCTCCGTACAAGGTGCTGTCTCGCTGTAGCATTGGTGCATTGCGGTATCACACCTATCACTTCACACACCCAGTGACCTCCCATCCCCTTCCTTTGGCACCGTCTTGCGGCGGAGAAAGATGTGGCTGGAAGCTTCGGCCCTCCGAACGCAATCGGATCTTGGAGTACAGTGTACTTGATAGAGGTTGCCCACAGCTGTGACTTTCACGACAAGTTTCACAACATCCACCGTATGTCAGTAGCTGTCTTAGTGGTGATGGTTGTTCAGCTGAACTATCCCAGCCTGGCGAGAAGGATGGTCGAGACACAGCTACACAGCGGATGTGGTAACACCAAACTTGCTACATCAGGTAATTGTACGTCCCGGTGAAGCTGAATGATCCCTAAAAGTAGGTTCAAATGATCTTGGGACACTTTTAAGTCATAGAAAATTCACCCAACGCATCTATTGTCTGAGCTGAAAATTGGCAAGCCCCAACCCGCCGGTATTCTGAACATGATCCAGAACTTGTCATTTGCAGGGACTCCAGACAATGGAGGAGGATATTTAACCATACTAAACCCATAAGGTAACAGTAGTGGGGCTGGTTTGAGCACCATAATGGAACAGCAACAAGGCCTCTCTGATCATGTCACGAACTCCCACTTTCCGTGTGACATTCTCCGAATCATCACCTAGCGGGTTTCAGCAAAATAGCTGAGCAAAAAACCTGAAAGCATCAGAGCGATATGTAGGTGTGCTACTAGTTAACAAGACATTGTGTGTACAAGACATTGCTCACGCATCCATTCACTCAATTAAGACCATGATTGCCAAGGGCGCCCACGGCCTTGGGGTAATACGATAAGCATCACGTTGCTCGATGATAGTTCTCGGCGCCCACAATGTCTCAAACAAATACTCATAGTCTAAAGAAGCTTTAGGAGGGAGCTCATGGAGACACCGTACTTATGGTGGCTATAAGAGTCCAAATATCTCTCGCTTCAGTAGCATTCTCACTCATCTTATCATACTAATTGGATATTATCCTCAACGAGACTACATCGCACAGCCCACAAGCTTCATACTTGGGTATTTTCCACAGTCAAGTCTCACGAACAGGCACTACGAATCGTGCTGCTGACAGTAAACCTGGATATCAGTGCGAATACAAGCCACCTTTATCGCCAGTCAACATGCGCTTCAGCATCGCGATCATCACCGCCACTTTGGCTGCCGTATGCGCCGCCGACCGCATGATTACCACCCGTAGTTGCAGCAGGCCCGGTGGTTTTATAGATGGGTAACCTGACCTTGACGACGCAGTGAGACAGACAATACTAGACTTTTGTGTAAGATTCTGAGATCACTTCTGCCAAGGTGCAGGACATCCAAGTATCCCGGTGTCTTGAGCTTCGGAGAAAGTTGCGGGATGATAGATTGTACGTGGAAGCTAGTAGAAACCAATGCCAACATTCCTTGAAAGCCCGGTTCGGGAAACCTGAAAGGTTGTGTTACTGTCAATGAGAACAAGAGCGAAAGCAGGGATGCCACATCAGGAAGTGACCGAGCTGTGCTGTTTGAATTTAACCTGTGCGGTCGACACCTTTGTGGAGGGCGTGTGTGATGAGTATCAGTCAAGGTCGACACAGGAAGCAGAATCGTGTGAAGCCGTAAAGGTTTCTGGTATCAATCTCCCTCAACGCATCACGTGCACGGAAGCCATCTTGGGGGAGAGGCTCGAAATATCAGACTCGACCAAGGTAGAATCATCACAGGTTCTTCTGACTACCTGGAGGACTCGACCACGCGAGGTTCTCAAACCCATCGTATCAACCAAACTCCTCCCTTCGGAGATGTCTCTGTCCAAAATCCAATTGTGAAGGATAGCCTCAAAGGTTAACCTTTCACAACGAGGACGTTTCTCCGGATGATTGGGTGTGATCCAGGAACTGCTTAAAAGCAGAGCAACTTTCCTCGATGTGTTCTGCATCTTCGGACCTCCCCATCACATCTTAGGATATCACAATCGGCATATCACACGGATTCCAGTAGTGCATATACTAACTTGACGATCCACTGCAAACAATCTTCTTCACATCTATACCCATATTGCAGGCCGCCTACCACCACATCTATCCTACGAATAGATTCCAACAGGCCTCTTACCTACACATCCATTCTACTCCTTATCACAACTACTCACAAGGCAACTTACGCACACAATGGCAGCCCTCAAGAGTCTTAGCGCTATCAGGGCCAAGTACGTCCAGAAGCAGCAGGAGAAGGTGAAGACTGCCGCCGTCGCCGCCGCTGCTCCCGACCCGTTCCAGGCGGTCGCCAATTGGAATTGGGAGGGCGTAAATTCCCCTGTTCAACAAAGCCACAGTGCCGTGGCACGCCAATTCACCGATGGGAGCAACCCCTCAAACGGTGCTGACTACTGCATGGCCGGCATGTGCGCCCCGGCCCAGGGATACAACAACGACGTCCCCAACGCCGGCGTCGTCATGGACATTGACGATGCCTCCTACAACTCGCCCGACGTCAGCATGAGCGACGTCTCCAGTGACTTCTCCAGTGACGTCTCCAGCGACGTCTCCAGCACCATGTTCGACATGGACATGGACATTGTCTCCGACGCCATAGCCGACATCACCATGTCCGATGTCCCCTACGCCAGCCCGGAGATCCACATGAGCGACGCCTGGATCGTGGGCTCACTTTGCGACGAGGATCACTCGGACAACATGCTCAAGATCCTGGAGGGGAAGAAGCGCGCCACGGGCCTGCTCCAGCTTGAGGACTCTCAGCGATTGCGTCCTCGAGAGGCCAACAGCCGCGAGCACATCGCCGCAGAGATCTCCAACTCGCGGGCCACCATTGAGAAGTGGCAGAAGGTGCTTGAGAAGATCCGGCTCGAGATGCAGAGCGGGCACGTTGACCCGTGGCCTACTGCCAAGTGGATGGCGAGAGGCGAGTGCCTGCTCGCGGAGGAGTGGAAGAGGCTCGATCGCCTCGACATGGAGTACTACATGGCCTCGAAGTATGTCGCGGGGTTGCATGAGTGCTGCGTCTGGTGAGGCTGGCTTGGTCGTGTTGGTGGGGTGCGGGATGCTTCACTAGGTTCGTGGGTGATGTGATGCCTTGGATCGGATCGAGTCCAGGACATCTTATGAGAATATGATGATGAGAATATGATAATGACCTAATGACTCCAATATACCCTGTCATTTTCTGTTTGCACATTAGCATCCTGTAATCTGCGTTTGTGATGTTGATTTTGACCCGTGAGTGTTTCTTCATCTTCAGAGAGCTTCTGGCACTTCCAACCCTGCTCCTTCCTAATGGGTTGGCGCCGTCGCATGACACCTTTCCTAAAATAAAAGACGTCTTTCCCAAATGAGAAGCCGACAAACGAACCACGAGAAACGGCTTCTCTGCACCCCAAAACTCAAATCCACTGCCGCCAAGTATGTCTCCATGCCTACCTATTCATCAGATGAAATGTCACGATGGATTCTGGGGCTTCAGCTGTCGTCAGAGAAAACGTCACACCCACGGTCGTCACTGCGCAACATCGTAATGTCGTGGAAGACATGCACATGAATACCCCACACTTTATCCACCACCCATTACTTCATCCCAACTCCCGCAGGCGGTCCGGCACATGAAGTCTCCATGCGAACGACGTCAGACGGCCCTCTCGCTCACACACACACACACACACCAGGAGACGGCCGATCCAGGGTCCAATTGGCACACACAGGCCGGCGATGCATTGCGGGGAAGGCATGGCGCCTGCGGTCTGTGCCGTCAGCGCTTCCACACTGACACCTCGTCTTCCCCGCCCCTCATCATCGTGTTTGCTGCAGCGTAGACGATGTGGTGGTGGTGGTGGTGGCTGCGATCCTTGCAGCACCAGGTCATCGATCCGTCGGCTGGTGGTGTTGACGGCTCGTCTGCACGTCAGTGTAGGTGCCAATTATGAGCGAGGTTTGGAGTTGAAGAGAAGAAGATGTGGAATCGTCGGTGCAGTCCCAGGTCGCCCCACTGAAGAAAACCCGACTGAGCCGCCAATCTGCGCCTGGGAACCCCTGCCCCAGCGACAGGCGAGCCCCGCCGGCTAGAACCACAGCTCGCCGCCTCCAAGCTCTGTCTGCGGCAGGCCAGGGCTGGTTCCATTGATGGAGGGAGAGACTTCAGCAGGCATTGATTCCATCACCTCACCTCACCCTGCAGCAGCGCATCATCCCACTCGGAGACACAGGTGAGCTGCTTTTCTCCCCGTCGAGCTGCTACTACCCTTCCTCTGCATACCTTAGATGCAGAAGCACAGCACACACGACCTCACACAGCATCAGGACTGCTCTCTTCCAACCCCGGATCTTCCAGCCCGCCATTTGCCTACCTTACCTTAGGTGCGCTACGTAGCGACGTCACACCCAAAAAGAGTCGCGTGTTTTTCAAGACACAAAAGCGAACCGAAGCTCGGGCTAGCTACCCAGGAAAGATCGCCAACACGCCACTTCCCCGGGATATCCTCACCCCAGCTGGCCAGCCCACAGACCGTTGTCGAAAGCGAACCTCCCCCGCGCGCGCCTCGATTTTACCTTTTATTTACCCCAGGTAACGTCGGCAAGATTTCGTCCCTTTGTTATCTGTCACACACACCCCTCTTCCTCATTCTTGAAACACGAGCTCAAAAGCTTGCTTCTTTGTGTGTTTCTCGCCTCGTATATAAGAGGAAGGTCCATAAAGCAAGACAATTGCGATATAATTTCTTGCCTTTTGAGAAGAGACACAGTCAAATACAATGGCGCCTGAAGTGATTCAGCCTGTCGCTTACGGAGGAGGATTGCCAGTAACCAGGATGCAGATCGACCCCAAGGAGAAGTTCTACCGCCATTTCCAGGATGAAGTCGCCGGTATGCTCGTCCTCATGTCATTGAGCTATGATATTGCTGCCACTGAGCTACCCTGGGATTTCATAGCTGACTCCACATGTAACAGGCTTGCAAGACCAGATCGACGGCCTCGGGTCCGTATCCCAGGTAGGCGGCGAGAGGCAGGATGCCATTGACCACATTCTCGCCGGCATATCCGCCCTCTCCCACGAAGTCGCCGACGCTTCGGACTACGTGCCTTCATATGACCAGCGCTCCTACGCCCAGGTGAGTCCTCTTCCTTCACCCATTTCCACGATGCCCGGTAAATCCTAACCAAACTGCAGGCCGTGAAAGCTCTTACAGACAAGTTAAACGAAACAACCACCAAACTCGCCCCCCGCTCCCGCTTCCAGTTCAAGTCGCGCGGCAAGGCCGCCGCAACTAGCGACCTCTCCGCGCCCAAGAACGACCCGCGCCTCGTCGTCGGCGCAAGCCTCGCCGACCCCCTCCCCGCATCTCGCGGCGGGCCCGTCATGGCCCCCGAGTCACGCGCCGCCGCCGCCGAGACCGACGACGGCCTCGGCGAGCTGCCCTCCTTCCCGCACAAGAACTACAACGAGGAGATGGCGCGCCCGAGTACCACCAAGGTCCGCAAGCCGAGCTTCTCCACTGCCAAGGACATCGCCATCTACGGGCAGGACGGGCTGCACATCATCCTGCCGTCGTCGGCGTCGCGGGCGACCTCGTCGGGCCGGCTTACGGACCTGCGCGGGTGCATCGTCGACATGTCTCTCGCGCTGTCCGGCACGACGTCGTTTGCGAACCTGGCGCTGCGGGATGTCGAGGGCAGCCTGGTCGTGGCGGGCAACGTGGCGGGGCCGGCGCACATTACCGGGGTGAGGGATAGTATCGTGGTGGTGTCGGCGCGGCAGGTGCGGATTCATGAGTGCAGGAACGTGGATATCTATCTGCACTGCTCAAGTCATCCGATCATCGAGGATTGCGAGAATATGCGGTTTGCGCCGCTGCCGGCGGCTTTTGTGAGTTTCGCGGGCTCAGGAGGGTTGAGTGTGACATGCTGACGTTTTTGCAGGATACCCCTGAACACCCGGTGAAGAACCAGTGGGATCAGGTTGACGACTTCAAGTGGCTCAAGTCGGAGCCGAGTCCGAACTGGAGCGTGTTGCCGGAGGAAGAGCGACTGGCTGAGGAGATTTGGACGAAAACGGTACCGGGAGAGAAAGGCAAGGATTTGCATGATATTCTGAAGGCTGTTGGTATACCGAAGCATTAAGCTGTTCGCATATTCCTAGTCGATCGGTTTGGGACAGGAGTTTGGCGGGCGAGGTATTGCACGGGCGCAAGGAATAGCGTCTTCTGTCCATTGTTCAAGTATCGTCCAAGTCGCATTTCGGGTATCATATGAGCAATCTGGTAAAAAATCAAACGTAGTCCCTGCCGCAGCATCCTGTGTCGTCGCTGATGTGAAGCTGCTCAATCGTCGTGCCTGTGCCGTCCCCAACCCTCCTGCCATCAACCAACGTCAATCCACTACTCCGTCTCCATCTTATCACCGCCCCCGCCCTCATCGTGTCCAAACTTGACGCCCGCTTCCCTCAGCCGGTCCAGTACTTCCCGCTGCATCTTGATGCGCTCCTCGAGCTCCTTGATCTCGTCCTCCTGCTCGGCGGTGGTGCGCTCCATGTCGGGCAGCGCGCGCATCTGCACACGGGCGCGCTGCAGCTTGTGCTTCAGGGCGTCGGTCTGGGCGGGCACGTCCTTGAGGGAGAGCGGCGTGTTCGGGCTGGCGCCGAGGGTGTTTGGCGTCGCGCCGGGGCCGGAGGCGGCCGGGGTCGCGCCCGTGATGCCGCCCGCGGCGCCGGAGGTCTGGATCGCGGTGCGCAGGCGGGTGAGGATGCCCGTGAGCTCGGTGAGGGTGTCGAGGGCGTCGGGGGAGAGGGTTGATGGCAGCTCGAGCGGATGGGGAGGCATCTTGATGGTTTGGGTGCCCGGGAGGCAGGCGCGTGTGGAGGTGGTAGATTGTAGGTTGTTGTGAGTGTGAGATAGGTAGGAGGAGAGTCGGAGCTTCAGCCTCGGGGTGTGTGCGTAATTGCCGTGGTGTCGTTGGTCGAGGTCGACGAGGCGTCAAAGTCAATTGCAGGCGAAGGTAAGGTGCAGTCGCAGTTGCGAGGCAGCAGTTCCGGGCTGGGCAAAGTGTCGAGAGTGGCAGGGGCGAGCTCCGCCGAGACAGTTGCGGTGCGGGAGCTACCACGGGCGTTTTAGCGCGTCGCCGATTGGCAGCTAAAAATTGTTGAAAGTCAACAGAGGGGCAGCTTCCATCAGCCCACACTGTTTATGATAGAGACAGCACTGTGTTTTGCTCGTCGGATGAGGATGTTTGGACAGTGCCAATTAAGATCATGCCGACACGGGTCTATTATCGGCGATACTATGACATAAACCCCCACCAAACACTGACACCGATAAAACAGAACAGCAGACACTGGACCGACCGGAGCTGCTGGGCAGGCAGGTCCCGACTGACTGTGTGCAAGGTGCATTGGCTGGGCCGATTCAGTCAAGTCTTGCCTCCTCAACCTCACCACCACCGCGGCCGAGAAAAAAAATAAAAAATCACGCAACCCTCTGCCCTTTTTCTGTTTCCTTTCCTCCTACATACCCATCCTGTAAAAGACATCGAAGCATAGAATACATATACACCATGGCCAAGACCGACCAGAAGGCCTGCCTGAGTACGTCAAAAGATCTCCCTCCCAACCCTCCGTGCCCCTCCTTGCGACCCCGCGGTGGTGCTGGTGATGGCAGTCGCGTTGTTGGTGGTGTTGATGGTGGTGGTGGCAGGGGTGTGAGCCTCGAAGCTGGTCGCGGAGCCCAGAACCAAGCCAACCAGCAGTTCGAAGAGGCACCTCCCCCTCCTCCCAAGCCCTCAAATCTGCTCAAGCCCAAGCCCAAGCACAATTCCCCCGACTACGTCCTCACCCTCGCCTACATCGTCCTGTACCTCGAGGTCGGCTGGCTAATCTTGTGGATCTTGCGCTCCTACAGTCGTGATTGATGGCTGGGGTGTTCCCGGCGCAGACTCTCCCAAGGATGGCGACGCCATCACCAACGCAAACACCCCCGTCATGGACGACTTCGCCAAGAGCAGCACCGGCTACTGTGAGCTCGACGCCTCCTCCCTTGCCGTCGGTCTGCCCGAGGGTCTGATGGGCAACTCTGAGGTCGGACACTTGAACATTGGCGCTGGCCGTGTCGTCTGGCAGGACGTCGTCCGCATCGACCAGACCATCAAGAACGGCCAGCTTCCTGACAACGCTGTTATCAAGAAGACCTTCGAGAGCGCCAAGAACGGCAACGGCAGACTGCACCTGTGCGGTCTCGTCTCTCACGGCGGTGTTGTAAGTCGCACCAAACAGCAACATCACCCCACTCAGCACAGCAGTGTCACTGACGTCTGATTTCACAAACAGCACTCCAAGCAGGAGCACCTCTACAACCTCCTCAAGGCCGCCAAGCAGTATGGCGTCCCCGAGGTCTACATCCACTTCTTCGGTGACGGCCGCGACACCGACCCCAAGTCCGGCGCCGGCTACATGGAGGAGCTTGTCAAGACCGCAAAGGAGATTGGCATCGGCAAGATCGCCACTGTTGTTGGCCGCTACTACGCCATGGACCGCGACAAGAGATGGGAGCGTGTCGAGCTCGCCCTCAAGGGCATGATCCTCGGCGAGGGCGAGGAGAGCACCGACCCCGTCGCGACCGTCAAGGAGCGCTACGCCCGCGGCGGTGACAAGGACAAGGACGAGTTCCTGACTCCCATCATCGTCGGTGGCCAGGAAGGCCGCATCAAGGACGACGACACCGTCTTCTTCTTCAACTATCGCTCCGACCGTGTTCGCCAGATCACCCAGCTCCTCGGCGACGTCGACCGCTCCGTCCTCCCCGACTTCCCCTACCCCAAGATTAACAAGCTGGTCACCATGACCCAGTACAAGACCGACTACCCCTTCGAGATCGCCTTCGAGCCCCAGCGCATGGGCAACGTCCTCGCCGAGTGGCTCGGCAAGCAGCAGGTTGAGCAGGTCCACATCGCCGAGACGGAGAAGTACGCCCACGTCACCTTCTTCTTCAACGGTGGTGTCGAGAAGGTCTTCGCCCTCGAGACTCGTGACGAGAAGCAGGATCTCGTCCCCTCCAACAAGTCCGTCGCCACCTACGACAAGGCCCCCGAGATGTCCGCCGACGGTGTCGCCAACCAGGTTGCCAAGCGTCTCGGCGAGCAAAAGTTCCCCTTCGTCATGAACAACTTCGCGCCCCCCGACATGGTCGGCCACACGGGTGTGTACGAGGCCGCCATCCTCGGTGTCGAGGCCACCGACAAGGCCATCGGCAAGATCTACGAGGCCTGCAAGAAGGAGGGCTACATCCTCTTCATCACCGCCGACCACGGCAACGCTGAGGAGATGAAGTTCGCCGACGGCAAGCCCAAGACGTCGCACACCACCAACAAGGTCCCCTTCATCATGGCCAACGCCCCCGAGGGCTGGAGCCTCAAGAAGGAGGGCGGTGTCCTGGGTGATGTCGCTCCTACCGTCCTCGCCGCCATGGGCCTGCCCCAGCCCGAGGAGATGACTGGCGCGAACTTGCTGACCAAGGCATAAACTTGCGTGTTTGGTTGTGAGTAGGGTGCGCAGTTGCGGGTGCTGTTTTCGGGGAGCGGGTTTATGGGAAAAGTTGAGCGTGTGGCGTGAGTTGAATACCTAGGTTATGACGAGTAATAGACCTATAGAGAATGAGAGCACGCTTTGATGACAGCCTAGGGGACAAATGAACAATGGTCTCTGTCTCCTAAACCAATCAACCAGGCTGGGATAGTAAGACATGCTTCGACCAGCTTCCACTCCTGTATCTTCTAAGGCAGGAAAACAGCCAACCAATTGTGGTTCGCGGACCACTTGCCTGCACGATGAGCTCTTTCAAGGAGTTTTATGCGGGCAACGGCGCTGCCCCTGCTCCTGCATCAATCCATTGGTCGAGCATACCATGCTCCAACATTGGCAGTTAGCTTCCCCTCCTTATTGCCAACTGATTTCTTTCGCAACCTGTTTTGGAATGATTTCTCTTCTTCCTCCTAATAATCTCGACTCCATTGCGTGGCTCCCGCGGCCAGCTTCTCCTCTATCTCCTCAGCTTCTTGCTCAGAGGGACGGTCTACGTCTTGCTGAAGCATTCCCGATCCTCTCGGCCATGTCCGATCCTCTCAGCGTCATCTCCGCCATCGTCGGCATCCTCGCCGCGGCAGGGAAGGTCGTCGAAGTTCTCGGGCCGTATGTCTCAGCGGCGAAGGATACGCCGAAGATCGCGCGATCTGTTCATTCCGAGGTCGTAAACTCCCGCATCATATTGTCGGCACTGCATAGTTTGCTGGACAATCTCAGCATGGTGCCGAGGAGCAGGACGTTGCTTGTCCCGATTGACGATCTGATCACTGTTTTCACGAACGGTGTTCTCATCTTTAATGAACTGGAAGAATCTGTGTTGAAGATCACACAATCTGGAGGTGACCGACTCATGGCGCGTATGCAATGGGTGCGCAGAGAGGGCGACTTCTCTGCATTTATTATTCGACTTCAAGCTTTCAAGGATACTACTTTGCTGCTTCTCAATATTCTTCAATGGTAAGATCACCTGAAATCTGTTGGACAAGATGCAAGGGCTAACAACTTGGGGTTTTCAGTGACTCCGATCGACGAGCTGCGCAAACTCAAGACGAGTTGTCCGTGAAGCTCATGAAACTGCTGGAAAACACCAATCTTTCCCGACGGCTGGAAACACTAGAGGACTCGTTTGACGCTTTGAGCCTTGTTGAGGCAAAAAGACCCATCCAATCCCAAGGCTCCCTCCCATGCCTTTCCGATCATCAATCAGACATGGACGACCGAACGTTCTACTCGGTGCAAACAATGAAATCAAGTTCGGAGGATCAGAGAATCGAGCCGGCCCCCACTCAAAACGAATCTTCTTTCGCCATCCCGACCTTCGAATTCCAAGCTGCTCTAGATGATTCGGTAGCATATCGTAGGGCTCGGGAAGGGACAATCGACTTCTCTACCAGGAGCTCTGTCGCAGCGTCAAATACTTGGTCTGTATTTTCTGGGGTCAGCTTGTCTGACTTTTCCACTCTCTCGAGGATCGCCATCCCGGTCTTTCCTCCAGACATATCAAACTCTCATCACTACGAGTTCATGAAACCTGTAACAAAAAGGTTCTACCCGAGTTTCCAGCGCCTTAGAACGAGATCCAACGCCTACAAACGTGTAGATGAGCGAGCCGTTGGGCTATGGTCTGAGAAACGCAGGCGGGTTTTCAAACCTTACGAACTCCGGTTTCAAGTCCAGTTCGAAGTCCCCGTCATTTACGTCAATTCGCCCAACATTGCGAGAGGACCGGTGAAGGACGCAGAAGTCATTTTCATCAATGGAACGTCTGAGAGTTTAGCGAAGACCCTGACTCGGTTGCCAGAAGCTGAGGCGCTGTATACGCCGAATGATGCACTTGCCTCGTGGCTTGTCCTTCTATCCGCTCTGCAACACATGGAACACGAATCTCGAGCATGGCAGCGGAAAATGTGGTTGGAAGCTTCAAAGCCATCTTCGAAATTCGGAATAGACGAATTGCAACTTAAGGTCAGCAGAAGATATTCTGTCACCGCTGTAGTGCAGAGAAAGCTTATGAGCTGGGATTCGTTGCCCCCTAATTTCCAGAAACCCTATGCAATCACCACCTGGTGTTACGTCATAGAACTTGCGGCTATGCTGGGAATTTACTGGACTGAATTCAACCGGTCTCGCAATACATATCGCGCGTCAGGGAATGGGTATATGATCACGAGCGAAAATGTGCCGGATCTCGGGATTGTTTTAACATTCAAACTCTACTGGAGAAGTCATTTCGAGCAAAGCCGGGTGATTCCCAACGCGGCCATTCGGTGTCTGTGTTTTGGTATGGTACCGACTATATTAGCATCAGAGCCTGTGGAGAGCAGCAGGATAGTTGTGGGCGCAGACGGTGTTCGGCCCTCATCGCAGTTAATGCGAGTAGCGAGCTCAACCGAAATAGCCGAGTCGCTTGGAGCCATTGGTTGCAATTCTTTCACTACCAAGACTTTCTTGCAAGATAAGGTAGTTGCGCACATCTTTCCAGGTAAGCTAGCCGTACTCTTGTCAGCTGAATCAGCCCAATGACACTTGTCAAAGTCATTTTTGAAATCATCGGGATGTTGGCAGAAACGATACACATCAAGGACAGCATGTTTCGCATGATACCGAGTCCCACACAGCATCGGTGGGATGTTGCTGGCTTTTCGCTCAATCTGATCATGAAGGCATTTGTCTATCAACTGAACGATTGGCGGATACCAATGCATGACACTGCTACCAGCAACCACACATTCATCCAGAGAAGAATACTTCAAAGCGCACAAGCAATTCTGGAACATACGCATCAGATCCCAGATGGGACACACGACATTCACAGCACTCCGGACGTCAATCTCATGAAATTGCTGCATGAGAGTGTAGATGACGCAACTGAGGTCCTGACAGCGCGCAACGCGAGGGGGCATGTGATGCGGGAGAGAATTTCATCTGAAGCTCAAAACATCTGGCACGAAGAACGAGAGATTTTACAGAATAGGAGAAGAAAACTCACAATGCTCATGTTACGCAATCACATCCAAGAGGTACTTGCTGGTCTGAACGAGGGTACAATCTCAGGAACCCAAGTCGACGTCATGGCTAGTGGCAGTTTAACCCCGTCGCCAACGTGGAAAGAACTGGATCATATACCACCAGAACTAAAGGAGGCAAAGCTCATGGAGATATACTTCCGAATTGTTTGTCCGAAGGTTGTCGCCGAGATGGAGAAGTTCGCTCGCGATCTTGATGTGTCTTTGCCTGCAGAGAGCCATGATCACAGCACAAACAGGGTTGTTGAGGACAAAAGTCGTGGTAATTTGGACAACATCCCGTTATGGATGGTGGAAAATGTTACCTGCGAAGACATTTGGTGCACTCTCATGTTTCGATCGATTTGCTGGCTAATGCTCCACGATTTTCACCCGGATGACATGCAGATTCCGAAGAGCGATTTGTTTGGGAGTCGTTTGCCGGTTTACATTGCATGAAGGAATGTCAGCTTTCTTGTTTTCCTCTGCCTAAAGCTGTAATCTAGAGTGATCCACGGTTGAGGGTTTCACACTCGTCAATCGCTTTGCTTGACGATACCATTGGATTATTGCCGTGCACTCTAAGTGTACATTCAAGACGGTCATTATGTCACATGTGGAATGAACATATGGGGATTGTGACGTCTGCTACAAATAGTACACAGATGGTAAAGCCAAGGTGAAGAAAACCACCACAAACAGCCACTTGGCAGAGAGGGTGTATGCCGCAGCATGCACCGCTCCCGCGCTCTGGAAGCTACTCGCTGCCCCCTGAAGCAGGTCCATAGCACCGGGCACCTTATCCCCGAAAACAAACCAGCTTCCAGTGCCGGTGTCATGGGTGATGTTCGTTTGCTTCGTCACTCCGCCCTTCAAGCTCCCGAACTCGACACTACCTCCTCCAACCGGACGCTGCAACTTATTCTCCCCAGCCTTGACAGTGAAGTTTGCCAGCGCAATTTCATACCCGTTCCTCGTGACGTACGTCGGAAGCCCGAAAAACGTAGCATTCATCGCGTCGTAGCCCACACTGAGCTCAAAGTAGCCCCGATAGAAGTACTCCTGCCACTGCAGTTCCGGGTTGGCCGCCGTCATCCACGAACTCCTGTTGAGAGCCTTCTCTTGCGTGATGTTCTGCCCTGCTGATGAGGGAGACGAGACCGCCGTGCCGGCGAACTCGACGCCGATGGACCCTGCCCCAGTCTCAGGGCCGTAATCCTTCTCACCTAACCACACGAGATCACTGACCCACGAGGCGTGGCTATCACCCGCCAGAAACACCGTATTGTCGATCTTGTTATCATACAGCGTCTTCAGCGTGCGGTTCCTGTTCGCGACGTAGCCGTCCCACTGGTCGTAGTTGAAGGGGTTCTTGGGCCCGTTGGAGAGGCTCTGATTCATCCTACTGAACACGATCTGGTTGCCCACGATCCTCCAAAGGGCCGGTGTATCCTTGAGCTGGCGGTAGAACCAGTTCTCCTGGCGCGAACCCATGAGCGAGCGGCTGGTGTCGTCGCTGATCTCGTGGATGTACCCCGTGTTCCAGTATAAGTCGGTGATGGAGCGGTCGTAGTTCCTGGTGTCGAGCATGATGAGGTTGAAGAGGTCGCCGAATTGGAAGTTACGCCAGATGCGGAGGTTGTCGTCCATGTCGACCTGCCGAAGGGGCACTATGAAGATGGATGTTAGACAGAGACATGAAAGAGATGACGTGGGATGGACTTACTCCATTCAAAGTACGCGCGCACGGCGTTCATCTTGCGCGCGTCAACGGAGATGCCGTCGTCTTTGATGAACGACTGTTCGGTGTTGTTCATCGCCGCCGACCCGTCTCGGTACGGATTGTCCATCACTTCGTGGTCGTCCCAGACCGTTATCCAGGGAAACTTCTGGTGGCTTGCGCGGAGGTCGGGATCGCTCAGATACTGAGCGAGGCGCTTGCGATAATCGTAGAGTCTAACGCATCTCAAGTCAGTACTAGAGCAACCGAAGCTTGAGGTTGTGAATCACACACGTATGACAAGAGCGGTTGGGTTCCGGGACTCTTCCGATTGAGTCGCCCCAACCCAAACCGCCGACGGGGTATTCTCCGTTGCCGTACTCATAGATGTAGTCGCCGAGATGGATCACATAGTCGACAGAATCTTTTCGCTCTGGATTTCCGTAGGCGTTGAAGAAGCCGAAAGCTGTCACGGCTTGTGTTAGTATGCTAGGCCTGCAAGTATGTCACAATACCCACGGTAGTTTGCGCAACTGTAGACAGCTAGCTTGACAGGACGCTTGACTCTGGAGTTTGCTTCTGGAAGAGTCCGGGTTCTACCGATGGGAGACTTGGTCTCGGAGTTGCATACGTTGAACTGGTAATCTGGCTCCAGTTAGGTCATGTCTGATAAGTAGGGAGACTTATGCATGAACAGTAGGTTGTAAAAGCCTTCAGCCCTTTTGCTTCCACCTACATCAGTTAGCTACAAGCACCGAGACTGCAAATAGACTATGTTAACAGACCTTGACCGTGAAGTCTACATCCGAACTTGTATAAGCCGTACCCGATCTGGCGGCGCTCCCGTTCATAGTCTCCGACGTGCCAATTTTCCAATCGACGCAGATCGGCGATTTGCTCGCTTTGACAAACACATCATTGTCGTGAGCGAAGACAGGGGCTGTTCCCTCAATCGTGACGTTGCTATGGTCGTTCTCCATCGTCGGGGCGACACGGGTCCAGAGGATGACGCTGTCATCGTACGGGTCGCCGGAAGCCACGCCGTGAGTGAAGTTGAGCTGCTCCGGCGTCCATGGCGTGCTGCCTTCAGATCGACCTGCCACCTTCCGGATAGAAATACCGAGAAACGGATGGTGCAAAGAGGGTGATTCATAGTTGAGGTTGCCGGCGTAAGTAGCGGTCGCCGCCGCGATTAGACTTGCGCCGCAAAAGGCTTTGAGAAACAGCATTGGAACGACGACAATTGAGAAAGACGTCTGACTCATAAAGGTTTAGAGACAAAAGGCCACTACAACAATGATTGTCGCCAGAATCGGCCGCGACAAGTGTGCAATTCAACCCATTATAAACGCATAGTTCTGCATAGGACGCTTGAGGTTATATGTTTTAGCCTACGCCCAAGCGCTTGTAAGATACTTTCGTCGGTATCCCACCGGTAGAGTGGGGGAGATGAAGGCACAGTAGCCAGTTAACCGGAACTCAATTGATGTTTTGCGAACTCTATCATTGGTTTCTAAGCGGCGAAATGAGACGAATCAAGCGCCCGAACGGTGTTTGATAGGGCGCGTAGACGCAGTAGGGCGTATCATTGACTCCTATTTCCCCGGTGGGACCTCAGGTGAAAAGAACGCGGAACAGATTTTAATGATGAGATGTCATGCCCCATTCTACCATACTGACCAGACCATGGAGCTTGAATCAAGAGATAATCAAGCCGCCCAATTCATTTCAGCTTTTCCGTCTCTGAGATGGAGGTTCAGATAATCCGGATCGTTCGGACTTCCTTATCAACTGTACTCAGCAGACCAATCTCTTCGGCCTCGGCCGTCACCGCGGTCCCTATCCTACGAAACGTGGTCTCGGTCTCGTCTACAGCCACTAGCAGCAGATACCACAAGTCCACGCCAGCTGTTGTCTGCTTTTGCGTGGGAACGTAGTACAAAGACCCCGCCTTGTTCTCGTCGTCGAAGCTCTTTTGGCTGACATCCAAATACACTCCCACACCAGTGGCCCAATATTCTTTATGCTTAGATTTTACGATGGCGCCATCCACTTTCAAGAAGAGTTTCCGCCGTTTCCCAACGCCGTTGACCACCATTTCGAAAGATCCCGGCCGGCACTTGAGATCGAGATATCCTCCTGTAATAAGGCCGGTTGTGTCTGGTGATTCGTGGTCAAGATGGAGGTCAACAACCTGGATGAGAAGGTTTTCTCTAGTTGGATCAGGGGTAGTTATCCGCCCATCTATGGAGGCCCATGAGAAGGTCGGTGCGCGGTATGTCTCAGGTCGAACGGATGGCGAGCCGTCGATTTGGCCAGTAGGATCTGCTTTCCAAAGTAGACTGCATTCCAAAGTACTACGCCACATGCCCACAACATACATGCCCACAACATACATGTCTTTCATCTTTGCCTGAAAATATTTTGCAATCCCGGACAATGCAATCAACTTGTCGGAGGCTTTGGTAAGCTGAGTTTCGGAATATGACCATACAATAGATTGCCATATTCTGTGATATGCGAATAGATCAACGGCCACTTCTTCATCAGTATTGTGACTGGGCACTATCGGGTTCCTCTTGAACTTCACAAAAGCGGTATTGCGCAATGCTTCGGGCAGTCCGTCTGGATAACACTCGGCTGCTGTGTGGTGTCTGCATTCCCAGTACAACTGCTCTCGGCCGAAATGGAGAACGCGAGGGGACAGCAAACGCTCCTGCAAGACCCAACCGCGTTTGTTGAGGGGACAATGGCCAACTGCATGGATCCAAAACATCGAGTTTACACTCGTACAGTCCACATAGTCTTCGCCAAGGCCAAGCCCCTCAGTGCATATCTTCACATTTTCTGTGAGACTCTGCCGTGGATCCCTTTGGAAGAACAGCCCCTTGGAGCTGTCTTGGGCCCCTGAAGACGAGATGTTGCAGTATGAGTATGAGTAAACCTTGTGCATTAGTCCCGCTTCGGCGAGCCAGTCAGAGAGATCATCTCGGTCTTGGAGAATGCAGAGAGAGTCGATCCAGAGGTAACGTATGCCGAGACGCCTAGTAACCTCAACGGCATCGCTAAATGTCTTAGGCAAGTTGGACAACTGAATTCCTTTCCGAAAGTCTCCGTAAGTAGACTTTTTGAGCTGAATGAACTGCGCCGAGCCCCAGCAGTGACTCAAAGTCGTGTACCTCTGCTTACACTCAATAGCCTCATCTGACGTAACAATCAAACGAAGAGTGTCAAGGTCTAGGTCCGGGGCAGACAAGTCCAAAAGCCGGGTAGGGTACCACGCCTCAGCGGCCGCTTCGGCGTTGCATGATTGATGGCCTGAGCAGCACGTCTCGATCTACGTGATAGCTTTCCCCCAGGCTTCTTCCGACGCAGTGTTGCTGGATAGAAATGGTTTCATTTTCCCCAGGTCTTTGCCTATTAGCCAGAATTAATATGAAATACCAATCATATTCAAGAACGTTCGCATCAGATAACTAACCTGCTCTCCTCTGAACGATGTATGTGACATGCAATTCCTCTTTCCTCAGCGGACATTTTTCACCGAAATCTGGCTTGAGATATACACACACTAAAAGGTCCATGCCTGCAGCCTTCATGCCGTCATCCGCACCGAAGTTGATGATGGCACAAATGGTGACCAATCCATCCAAATTGTCGAGCTTCTGACCGTTTGCCCTCGGCTGTGCTCCAGTACCATGACGTTCAGCCCACTTTGTACCAAAGTCTCTCAATCCGGACCTCTCATCTTCGTCTATTTGTGACCAGAATGGGTGGCATATTTCGCAAACTTCCAGAGCGGATGCCTCGAGGCTGGCGATAGACTCGTGATGAGCCAGTAAGATTGTCGGTTGGGGATCGTTCTGGTCGCTACTGGCCCACCCCTTTCTGTCATGAAGTGCGCCGATGCAAACTTCACAGAGCATGACGAAGAGCTTCAGCCTCTTGCTGTCTAGGATGTAGATAATACGAGCGGAAGAGACTTAAGACATGAACAACAGATTCGGTGCGGGGTTAATCGGTTCAAGATCAGTGGGAACCAACTACCTTACCAGCGAGCTGATTGGCGATGCGTGTGATTGTCTTTGATTGGCGGCACGGAACGCCACACTGTCTTCTTTTCATTCTAGAGTGGTACAGCTTCACAGTATCTTGAGATTTTCTGTCATTTATTGTCGGCGAACTTGCGTATGTCTATCACCCGATGTTGGCCAGTAGAAACCCACGGATGCAGGCTGAACTTCTCGATGAAATACACCGTTTTCACGAGGACGACTGCGAGTCCCATCGTTTATATTCCCATAGCACAGCTCGAAGTATCATGCTTCAGCGAGATTGATTTATGTGGCCAAGGCAACCGGATCTTTGGAGTTATGGAGATGGCATGGCGCATTCAGAATGCCCAAATGGCAATATCTCAGTGCCCCAACCCAGACCTTTCTCTGCCACAACCCTATGACGTGCATACCAAAAAGAGACTGGAAACTCTGACTAAGAGCTTTATAATGCATCTTCTAAGGGATTTGTATCCCTGCAGTCTCCATGTTCTTGCATATGGATGGAGCCGATTGCGCGCGCGTCCAACAGGCCAAGCAACACCTCCACCTTTCATCATCTAATAATTCAGCGGGTGCGTTTCTTCTCTCTCCCCTTCATGAGGCCGGCGAATATTGGTACGCACCGTCATTCTCTATCTGCGCACTTTTTCAGGAGGTAAACAATCGCCGCTGGTCTGTTGCTATCTGTATTCTGCACTCAAAATGGCTACGAATACTCAATCTGTCCTCTCTGGGGGTAGACCTACGCCCCTAGATATCGATGATCAGGAGCCGCCTCTCGAGCTTGACGAGGATCTTGTGGTCAGTGTACATACCAGCGACTGTGTGCGCCGAAGTTTATTGTGCAACTCTACTAATTCGACTGAAGACCGATGACGTATCGTCCGTCGATGAGCAAATGTAATGAGTCGTCGATTTCCTACGTCTGGATCATGAATTGACCTGCGAACAAACCAGTTCAGAGTACACTGCCTCGTTGGCGCCCAGCGTTCTGAACTATCCCAAGGAGTATGGTCGCCGATATCATGCTTTTCGGCCGGGAGGTTAGTTTCCTGCTGGACTGCAGCTCAACCGCATGATACCTCACGCACGTTGTCTCACACTGGCTCAGCATATCCTCTTCCCAATGATGATTCGGAATCAGAGCGCCTCGATATGACCCATGAGCTGATTGTCAGACTCATGGGAAACCGTCTGTTCCTAGCCCCTCTGGAACGGCCCAAGGTTCATCGGATTCTCGACATCGGAAGCGGTACCGGCAAATGTAAGAATCAACTTCCGTAATTAAGCTGCTACATGAACTGTATTGACCAGAACGCCGAAAGTGGCCGTCGCACTGGGAACTCTCTTCGACGACGCTGAGGTGAGCAATTTCAATCATCCATCGGCGCAGAATGCGATGCTCAAGGGAATAGGTCATTGGGAATGATTTGAGCGCGATCCAGCCCACTTGGTATGTGAGCCTACCCAAACATTCGTCCTGTCTGCAGCTCACCGTCGAGAAAGGATTCCGCCTAACGTCACTTTTGAGATTGACGACGTTGAAAGTCCATGGGTAGGTAGTCAGAAATTTGACTTCATCATCTGCCGCTATATGGCCGCTGCAATCAAAGACTGGCCGAAGTTGGTGCAGAGTGTCTACGAGTATGTTTCGACTGTTTTATTGACCCCATCAGTCGTTTTCTGGTCGCCTCCAATATCACAGGTTTTTCCATGAATATTTGTCTTGTTTCTAACGTTTGAAAGGAATCTCAACCCGGGGGGGTGGGCGGAGTTCCAGGATATGGATATTGAACTCTACTCAGATGATGGAACTCTTACTGAGCAGCACGCCACGAGGGACTGGAGTAGAACCTTTGTGACGACTCTGAGAAGCATGCAGCTCGATCCGGCTCCTGGCCCGCAGCTCGAGGGATGGATTCGACAGCAGGGCAGTTTCACCAACATCACCCATCAGAAGTTCAAGGCGCCGGTGGGACCCTGGCCCAAGGATAAGGCCTATAAAGATTTGGGAATGTTGAATCTTATTCAGACATTGGACGGGCTTGAGGGTTTCTCGCTCAGAATGTTCTGTGGCGTTCTTGGGCGCACGAAGCAACAGGTCTTGGACCAGTTGTCAGATGTGCGCAGAGAATTGAAGAGCAACGCCTTTCACTGTCACTTCGACATGTAAGTCATGCATCCATGCGAATGCATTATGTTTTTGAATATTTTCTAACCACTGCTTTAGTCACATTGTATATGCACAGAAGCCCTTTGCAGAAGAATAGTGTTTGAGGACAACGTGTAGAACATGCGATACAGGTAGCTTTTTGGATTGTTACGTGAGAATACAAACCCACTCAAGTGGAAGGGATGGTCCTCTCACTCCCTGGGTGTATCAAATGCTTTTCGCTCCATCGCTCACGTGTGGTTTCTGGCATCGCCTACCTGCCAATTACGATAGATTCCCATGGTTGACAAGTTGGGGGATCTCATTGTCTCGTCGCCGCGCAAAAGGGAGAAGAGTCAGCTCTAAACAGCAAAATACATGTAAGTATCTATGAAAAGTCCATGAACCTGCGCATCGTCAGCTGGGAACGCAAGAATCTGAGCTTGAGCAGCATCTTTTTGCTCACTGGCCGATCACTTCATTCGAGGCAGACGGACGAAGCTATTCAATTTTGGGTCTGGCCAGATTTCTTGCCAAGAATGTCCTGGAGCATAGCAACGACTGCCCAGGGGGGGATGCAGGTCAACCGATTGAGCTTTGGGGCAAACAAACGTAGAAAGACTTCAGTCCGTAGCAAGCTTTTAATTCAGGATGAAATATTCAGGGAGATTTAGAATGTTTGCATTCACATCTATGGATACAACTTGCATCTGAATGTCTTCGTGGAGCCATTGAGGCATTTGAATCGCGGCACATGGACTGAATCCACAAATCCATACAAGGCTGACACTGCTTCGGGTGCATTCCCTTCCGTGCGTATGCAAAGATACGGCGAGGATCCAGGTGAGCTGTTATTGTCTCTGAAAGAGGAAAATGCGTTTGGGTGACCACAGGTTGCATATGCAAATGGTCCGGGGAACCGAAGCGGTTGAATCTGATTGGGGTCGAACCGACAGATGTTGGATGCAAAAGCACGGCAACCCCATCACGAGAATGTTCGCAGACTTGTGATTAGCTGAGAGGCTTCCAGGGGCACTAGAATGGAACGTTCGCTGCATATCACCCATGCTGCCTCGCACAGAAAATTGGGGCGCCGAGATGTTGGAAGTCGCAAGCAAAAGCAGTGATGCGACAAGTACAAATGTCTGTCCATTTTCGACAGCGGCAATTCCGAAACTACCCCTCTTCTTCAACCACACGTTCTCATCAAGCTTGCAAACAGCATTCTTTCCCGTGACGATCACTTCTTACGACATCCAAATTGACAGCATGGCAGAGGCGCAAAAGGACACCACCGGGCCAAACTTGGCGCCGAAATCGCAGACAGCATCACCTGCTTCAGAAAATTCACCGGAAGCCGTGGACGATCTCGCGCCTGGTGCCCTTGATGTAGATGAGGCGGAGCATGTGCGTGGACCCTTTTACTTTTCAGTTTGTGATGATGGACTTTGTTGACATGTGGTACAGCAATCCGATACTGCTTCAACGATCGATAGCCGGATGTGAGAGCCTTCAGTGTCTGATATCAAGCTAGTATACTGATGACTTAGTTCAACTTATTCGGCATCTCTGTCTGAAAGCGTACTTGATTACCCGACCGAGAATGGCCGACGTTATCATGCTTTTCGGGCTGGCTGTAAGTAACGCGAAGTTGCGGACTCTGCTGCTGTTGTCAATTTCGAATGCTGACGTGATGAAAGCCTACTTTGCTCCCAACGATGAGGTACATTTGAGACTGCTCAACCACGCCCCTCTTACTTAGGTTGCTAATGAGAACCTGCGGTGCCCGCACAGAGCGAAATGGATCGACTTGACTTCAATCACATGCTGGTGCTGAAAACACTGGGAAAAAAACTTTTTCTGGCCCCTGTTCCGAAAGAGAAGACCCATCGCATTCTTGACATTGGAACCGGTACAGGTATCTGTACGTGCGACGTGTAACATTCGCGCGTACCTATCAAGTCTGACGAACACAACAGGGGCCATCGAGGCATCGGATTTGTTCCCCAACGCAGAGGTACATTTGACAAATCACCTGTTTTTTCTGGGTTGAACTAATAGGTTGAGAAGGTCATCGGCAATGATCTGAGCGCTATTCAGCCGGAATGGTAGTGATAACGCTCAGAGAGATGTGATCTCCCGTGCTCTTGACTGACAATGCCACAGGGTGCCGCCCAATGTCAAATTTGAGGTCGATGACGTGGAAAGCGAATGGGTCCACAACGAGAAGTTTGACTTCACCTTCTGTCGGTACATGGCAGCATCTATCTCGGATTGGCCGAAGCTCATGTCGAGAATCTACGAGTGAGTTACATGAACAGGCATTCAGACAGAACGCTGAGAAACCGGGACTATAGAAACACAAACCCTGGCGGATGGGTAGAATTTCAAGACTACGATCTCTTGTACAGATCAGACGATGGCTCGCTGACTGACGATCATCACACTTCGAAGTGGACCAAGGACTTCCTTGATGGCTTTAAATCAATTGGACGAGAACCTTGCCCGGGTCCCAAACTGGAGGGCTGGGCTAAAGAAGCTGGGTTTACTAACATCAAACATCAGGTGTTCAAATTGCCCATTGGGCCTTGGCCAAAGGATCCCTACTACAAGGACGTAGGAATGACCAATATGATCATGCTCCTCGATGGCTTGGAGGGCTTTACCCTGCGAATGTTCTGCAGTGTTCTCGGGTGGACAAAGGAAGAGGTTCAAGTTTTGTTGATGTCGGTCCGCAAAGAGCTCAAGGCTCCGGCATTCCATGCCTACTACAACCTGTGAGTATGTCGTCAACAGAGTTGGTGCGACTGTTTTGCTGATGAAGTATATCTCGTAGCCATGTGGTCTACGCACAAAAGCCCGAGGCCAAAAGTCATGAGTAATGCAGTCATTTGTTGGAATCAGTAATTTAGGACGAGGTCTGGCGATTCTTTACCACAGACAAAGTCCTCCTGTCAATATTTTTTTTACACTCTAGCAGAGCTTAGTTGAAAAGTCATGGCACATTTCCGTGAGAATATTTGAGAGAATTGAGGTATGAAACCAGACATCAATGGAAGCTTCAAGTGATTTGGCTTGGTGGGAACCTTGCCCTCTTCCAGCTTGCACGAAGTTGATCAGCGACGGGCATGACAAGTCCCCGAGAACCCGGGTCTCCAGCAGAGTTTCTGAGTTCTGATTCCCTGGATCAAAACCCGCATCCGCCAAGACCTGATATTGCGACCGCTTCCATTTGTAATGCGACATCCCGCCGGTAAGAGCTACTATGTCTCATGCAGCAACGTCTTGCTTTTCATTGGATGACCTGACATCAGATGTTCATAAGCAGCTCAACTCCACGGCGCCGATGCCTGTTGGTCATCGTATCAGTCAGCCTGATATCCCAAATGGCCCATCTGCCGTAGCTAGCAGATGAAACATATTTCCTAATTTGTAGTCAATAAGGTTTGCCTCGGTTCTTGGTAACGCTAGTAGAGAATTCACATCGAAGCCAAGATCCGTAGATGTGAGGATGACTCCACTTTTCCGGATGTTACGGTGTGGAATAAGGGACTTGCGTTCATCTGAGTAAGAAACTTGCATTGGCGACACGAAATCGACATACGACGTGCCTAAAGAGGAGAAGTGGGTATGTGTAACAGGATTCCCCTCACCGCGACCCATCATTATAAATATTGTCCGTAGGTCCTGTGCAAAGTATCAAGTCCACCATCTTCATCTGATCTCAATCTTCACCGAGGCCCAACAGATATACCCCGCCATGGCCTCGACAACGCTCACCGAGAACACCTTCAGCCACAGCGGCGACAAGGCCACCTTCTACTGGTCTGCTGGCCCATCTCAGGGACCGTTGGTCATCTTCATCCACGGCTGGCCCGCCAACGGCGAGTCGTGGAAGCCTCAGCTCCTCGCTCTCGCCGCGCTCGGCTTCCGCACGATCGCGCCCGACACCCGCGGCTACGGACGATCCAGCGTACCCAAGGAAACCTCCGCCTACGCGTTGGAGCACCATGTATCGGACATGCTGGCCCTGCTCGCCCACCTCGGCCGTGACAAGGCGGTGTGGATCGGACACGACTGGGGTGCCGGCCTCGTCTGGGGCTTCGCCGCGCAGCACCCGGAGAAGTGCGTCGGCGTGTGCTGCATGACGGTTCCGTACCACGTCCTCGAGCATGGCCTGGAGGGTCTCGTCGCTCTTTCCAACCGCGAGCTGTATCCCGAGGACCAGTACCCGCTCGCTCAATGGGACTACCAGGCCTTCCACACCGAGCAGCCCGAAGCGAGTGCCAGCCAGCTAGCGGCCAACGTCACAAACACCGTCAAGCTGCTCTACCGAGGCGGAAGTCCGCAGACCTACGGCAAGCCCGCTTTTACCGCGTCACTTCGGAAGACCGGGGGCTGGTTCGGCGGCCTCCCAGAGGCGCCGGACACGCCCTTCGAGTCGACGCTGTTCAAGGACGACAAGCCGGCGTTCGATCGCATGGTCGCAGAGTTTGAGAAGAACGGCTTCGAGGGCCCTAATGACTACTACCGCAACCACCCAGCCAACAAGGCGTACGCCCTAAAGGCACCGAACGGGGGCCGGCTGTCGTACCCCGTCCTCTTTGTGGAGGCACGATGGGACAGCGTCTGTGATACGTCCATTTCGAGATTGAGTGAGCCCATGCGGGAATTGTGCGATGACCTCACCGAGGTGAGCATCGAGGCGGGGCACTGGGTTGCGATGGAGGAGCCGGAGGAGACCAGCGCGGCACTGGTGAGGTGGATTGCTCAGAAGCTGCCCACGCACTTCCCCGGCTACTGGAAGACACCGTTCGTGTCGCGCAAGTGAGAGGATAGTCTGCAGCTTTATGATCTTACTCAGAAACGATGACATGAAGTCAGTGCGGTTCTAGCCTACGCGTTTGCCATACTCTTTCGGCCACCGGTGACCATGATTGTCCGAACGGATAGACGTGCCGGCGCACGTTTATGAACACGATAATTTGCCACCGCGAAAGCGCATCGCTATTTGGGTAAGGCGGTGATCGAAATGGATCGTCAGCTAGCTATCGTCATGGGAGAATTTCTCGAGTCAGCTCCCAGGTCCGACCAACTCGCTTGTTGCTTGTGTGGATACTGCTGGATATGAAACAATGGACATGATGCTTCTCATTGGATATGAACTCTTCGTGGAGTTTAAGGCTGGACCTATCCATGTGTCGGGGCGCCCGGGGAACTGGACGATGGCCGATCATCCTAACGGAGGACCTGATTGAGGATGAAGCAACCTGGGCAGAAAAGAGAGCTTTACGCAAATAGATTGGACCATTTCAGCGCTGACGACTCGATTGAATTTGGCGTATTTTCCATGTTTTTATCCGAGCATTGACGCGTGGTCCTCGACGGTTCAGAGGTGAGGTTGTTGTTTGTGCGTCTAAGGTTAATCATCCTGATGGCCGGGGTAGGTCTGCTTCCATGGAGCCTCTAATTTCGGTTCTTTATGATCAACCTTCGTGACAAGCTTGAATATTTTCCGTCTCTTTAGGGGCGCCCGCCCATCCCAACAATGAAGGGCACTTGTTGTCCTTCTTGCTTAAGGCTGAATGTGCTCAGAGCACCTCGGTTTAGTATTTTCATGCTTCAACCTTAACCGCAACAACTCTGGGCGGAAAGCACCTGTTTGAGCATGGCATCATCGCAAAAGGCCTGGGAGCTCGAAGACCGGCCCTCGCCGACCTTTCATCAACAACCACAACAACATGCGCCCGCGAACGGCTCCGCACAAAATGCCGTGCCAGAACATAGGTGGCCTTTCCAGGAGGTAGAGGACGACAAGCAGCCTCCTCAGTGGCCCTTCCACGGCGAGGACGAAGCCAAGAAACCGCCCCCCACGTCGTTGCATCCGCCGCCCGCAGCTGGCCCGCCATTTCAACGCCAACCTTCAGTCAGTCCGAGTCCGAGGCCAAGCCATACCCGCCATGTGCTTAGCTACTGGGCCCTCGAGCTCCTCACGGTGTTCGTCGCGGTCGGCCTTCTCGTTGCCATCATCGCCCTCCTCGCGTACTACGATGGCCGTTACATGCCAGAATGGCCGTTCGACATCAACCTCAACTCCGCCATCGCCTTTCTGTCGACCTTTCTCCGGGCGGCCATCGTTGCCGCTGTTGCGGAGATCATCGGTCAGATCAAGTGGACTTGGTTCACTGAGCAGACGCGCCCACTTCACCACCTCCAGGACTTTGATGCCGCCAGTCGGTCTATCCTCGGCTCCATGAAACTCCTGGCGGTGTTGATATGGAACATGGGATTTACATCTGCTGGTCTGCTTGCCATTGGGGCCGCATTGGTAACCATCGCCAGTTTGTCCGTCGGCCCCGTCACACAGCAAGCCGTCAGAACCAGCACATGTCCTATGTTGCAGGACCATATCAACTCTTCCATTCCGGCTGCCAACTATGTCCCCGGATCATCAGCTTACTACCGAGTGGGTGCGGGCTCATATGAGATCGAGGTGGACATGAAGAGTACCATGATCCAGGGCATCACAGACCCAAACAGCCAGTACAGCAACGTCCAAGTCAGCTGCCCCAGTGGTAACTGCACATGGCCGGACTACGGCACAGGCGTCACGCACGCGAGCATCGGCATGTGCAGCAAGTGCATCGACACGACGAGCTTCGTCAGCGGGCCCAACAACGTGAGCAACATCACGCTGCCTGATCAAGGCGCTTTCATCAACATCATGTCTGGCAATTACATGTGGATGGGGTACAGCAACCTCAGCGCGTACACCAGTCTCTTTACCGAGGATTTCGCCGCGGCATCGGCAGTCTCGCTTGCAAACTTCAGCATGCTCATGATCTCGAGCTCGCCTTGCACGTCGGACAACTCGACGGGGATACCCAAGCTCGAGTGCCCGCATCGCGTCACCGAAACAAATATGAACTCCTACGGTGATCTCGGAGACTACATCGCCGCCTCGTGCGTGCTGTACCCTTGCATGAAGGAGTATTTCGCCCAGTACGAGAACAACACTCTGACAGAGAAGCTCGTCCGCACCACGACGGCGGTGCCCAATAAGGCCGAGCTTGGGTCTCAGGGCTCGTACTATTACTCGGGGTACGGTAACTACACGGCCCGCCGAAGCCCATGCGTACTCGACGACGGTACATGGTACGACTTCAACAACCAGACCGACGCCCTCGATATCCCGGGACGCACCTGGACGAACTATACCATCGCCGACAACGATATCCGCCTGGTCCCCAACGCCTGTCTGTACAAAATGGACGGCACATTCTTTTCGGCGTTGTCAAGTTTCCTCAGCGTCGACCTCTTTAGCGCCACTTGTAGATACGACAGCATGCAGAGTGGCCATCTCAACTGCTTCGAGTCGTGGTGGCTGACACCCTTATGGGCCGAGAAGAATGCGACGGTAGCCAGTCTGACGAGCGCCATAGACAGCTTTGCATGGGCCGTCACCAACAAGTTCCGCATGACGGGTCTTGGTCCCAATATTCACCGAGGCGTCGACGCCCTCAAGAACCGGGGCGCCCAGGCACTCGGCGAAGTATGGGCGAGCAGCACGTGCACCTACTTTGACAGCAAGTACATTGCTTTGCCCGCTGTCCTCGTCGCCTGCTGCGCCTTCCTCCTCGGCTGGGTCATTATCAAGAACTACACCGACCCGGAGCAGCCGGTGTGGAAGGGTAATGTGCTCCCGCTGCTCTTCTTCGGGCTGCATGATAAAATGGGTCCGCAAGCCGCTGGCGGAGGAATCGGCCCTAGCGCTACCAGCGAGCCGGGTCAGCCGAGGGATGGCGGCAGACTGGCGAGGAATATGTCGTTCTTCCGGGAGAATGGACGCGCGGCGCCGGAGCTGGACCGGATCCAGCAGGAGTCGGGACGGATGTGGGTGCGGTTCCACGGCGGAACGGACCCTGGGTTCTTGGATCTGGGTACGAAACGGCATGACCCGGAGGCTGCGAACTCGGGGCTGGTTTCCGGCAACTTGGGGAATAATGATTTCCGCGGAAGGCCGGCGGGTAGATAATGTTTAGATGATAATGTGTATTTCTGGTTTCGACGTACATCTTGTTGTTGAAAGTGACGTGACTAGATGTTCTCATGCACGGCAAGTATTTGCAGGATTAATGCTCATAAGTGAATTTCATGACTCATTTGTAAGAGTTTGCTCTTTCTAATTATTTTACAGCTTGGACTTGACGTCTTCCTCTCTGCCCTGCAGGTTCGGGTGGGGAACCCTTACTGGTCGAGTTACCGCGTAGAACGCCAGACCCTCGGACTTGGTTGAGAACTAAGACACAAACACGCAAGTAAGCCATCTAGCTTGTAACGAAGGAAAAGGGGGTTACGAACCTGGACCTTGGATCCGACGTGGAAGAAGGCAAAGTCACCGGGTACTAGGTGGTGAGTGATTCCAGTGGCCTCGTCCTATCAGAAACGCGTTTGTTAGTGTAAATGTCTCATGATCTACCCTTTTGGATGGAACTTACCAAGATGTCGATCTGACCGCTGAGGACGTACTTGGTCTCCTCAAAGGTGTAGTGGGCGGGGCGGGAAGGGCCGGCGACAATCTTGTAGAAGCCCGATGTGAAGTGGGCGGGAGAGTCGGTGGTCTTGGTGCGGATCCTATTGGGACGTCAGACTTCTTCATGTGAGCTAGGGGGCTTCAAGAAACATACGAGTGGAAGTCGGCAACGGTGGCGTTCTCGCCCTCGGGGAGGGGGATGAACTCGTGGCCCGCGCCCTTGATGATGGTAAGAGGAACGAGGCTCGACACTTTGACGACCATCACAGTAAGCAAACATGTATACGACCTTGGGGCATGGTTCTGCGGCAGAGACGCAGACACGGGGTACAAGGGTGTCTTACTTTTGATGATTCTCTCAAAAACTTCCATAGAATTGATTAAACGCACGATAAACTTGCTTGGTCCCGATAAAGAATTACATACTTATACCACGACTTATAGTCGTCGTCGGTTGCAGTTCCGAGAGACAACTCGGAGCATTCTCGGGGTGTTGGGTTTGCCGTTGATGATATCGGGAGCCGACCCGGCGGTGTCTCCATCCCGGTTGAGGTACGGGTAGATCATCCGCCGCCTATCTGATGTCGTGCGAGCCGGGGTAGTGGGGTCTGGCGGGCGGGGCAAGTCTTCCTTTACCAATGACATGATTGATACACTCCAGGCTATCTAGAAGATTCATCAGACTTCATTACAACAGACTTCTAAATTTCACCATTCGCCTAACATGACAATCGTGGATTTTCTTGAGAGGCGGTGTCCATGATCCTAGCTATCCGATCTGAGTCCATGCGGTTGTCAGATGCTTGGCAGCCTCCATTAGCGTCGCGCCTAGGCTTGGCGGTATTTGGACCTCAGCATCAAGCTAGACAGCTTTCAATGACCACATTCAAGTACGTTGAACTAATATTCTTTTCGAATTCCGATATTTGGGTACTCGGAAGCAACTTCTTGGTGTCCACAGACGAACATTCGCTATCTTATGGATCAGCAGGCGGGCGATGCATGATAACTGCCGCTGGACCCCTGCATGCAGCTAGCTTCTCCAGATCCGAACGCCGAGAAACGCCGTGTCGGGCCCAGGCCCGCGTGGAGGGAACTTCGCCGAGCTTGCGACGGTTGACGGACCGAACCGGCCAGTGCCGAACTAGCGCGAGCCCGGACGGGTCGGGGCCGTGAGCCTTTGTACCCCGCCGTCTTCCGGCGAGTGTACTTACCGACAATCGTAAGGAAAGCAGACAGGCACTTGATGGTTTCACGCAGGCCCGATGAAGCGCACTGAGAAATGCGTCTCTCTAGCGGCTAGTCTAGTATTTAATACAATCCATGCGCCATCGCTGCTTCAATTCATCCATTACGGCTGCGCAATGACGCAGTCACCCACTGACGATTTGCCTCGAATTCACAGTGGTCATCTTTCTCAACTTTGCTACTCATAATCAAATCAAAGGGGGAAGAGAAAGGTATCTTTCGAGCCCATTGGGGGTTCTTCGAAGGAGAAACCGCCGCAGACCGTGGAGTTTCACTGTTGGCCAAAGAACTTGATTTCATTGGCGGCCAAAACCTGTCGATGCATACCGCCTTTGGCTGAAAAAATACCAGTGGCTATGAAAGTGAACAAAGTGTTTTAACAGGCCTGTTGGGTCGCACTCAATACGAATGCTGCAGCACAGGGGTCAATCACCCCCTGTTTCACCAATTTTCTGCTTTATATATACACGGGGTCATCTAAAGTGCGACGTTCTCGTATTTAGACATGCAAATAACTCTACTCAGTATGTCTATTGCAGAAGGTCTGCATGCATGCAAAACGTAGTCTCAAGTAGAGCAGGAAGTTTGACGTTCATCATCACCTTGTGCATTGCTCCAAACATGATTCTGCGGTCAAACTCAGCTCCTCCATCGTACATCTGAGGCTCGGCAGCATGACACAGCTATCTTCGCACACAGCATATGCTGCTCAGAGGAGGAAGGTCAAAAGGCAATTACACTTTCATCTTGTGCGTCATTCATCATTGGCATTTGATCAGCGTGTTGTTTTCGAGTGTATGGTCTCTACCTCCGATGATTGGCAGAATAGAGAATATGGCATCCATGACCGAAACAAAATCAGGCCTCATGATAGTTGAGCCAAACGACAATGTGATCCAAACGAGATCATCATCGCGTACGCAGAAAGGGCAGGAGCAAACCTAGCAGCCAGCGGAGATCTTGCATTCCTGCAGTGAGTCTCGGTGTGGGCAATGTTGAAAAGCGCATCTCCTCCTTCTCCGGCATGGAACAGATGGGTTGCAGTTGAACGTCCAGCCCCGCCGAGTGAGACGGGTCGGCACCTTTGACGCGGCTTGGCGGTCGATGACTACGACTTATGCTGTAAGTTTTGTCGATCTGTTTGTTTTGCCATGAGCTTGTATTGTGGTGGCAGTGAAGCATCAAGAGTGTGGTGTGGGACACACACAAGAGGTCCCCTCAGATTCGTCTCTGTAAGCGGCCCTTCTGTTGCGGCATTTTCGCATGAGACCGCGGGAGAGACCAAGTAGGGATCATCAACTTTGGACGTTGGGTCAGGAGCTGGGTAATCATCCCGACTTGGCAATGTCAATTTCAACGGTTCGGACTTTCTCGCAGCTCGAAAGGGGGGCAGGTTGATTCCATCGCGAGTGCCACTTTTCAGACGATGCGAAACAGGGCATTTCAGTATGGATAGGGGACATGGGACAAACGATGGCGACCTTCATGGCTGGCCATCCCCCCATCCATATGGAAGCCAGGTTGGTAAGCGATGGCTTTCTGGAAGCCCCCGACAAACGGTGCGCGATTCGTTCTCAGAGTCTACAGACCTCTCGCAGAGGGTAGTTTTGCTGTTTTGGATCGCGGTGGAGACGGCGGTGATGTCGTTGATTCGAGGGATATTATGGGACACACGTGTGGGCAGGGAGATCTGACGTTGTCGTTTGAGGCGTCATGGTGTTGGGCTGCTGGTCGACTGGGTCTCTGGCCTTAACCCATGATGTATGGCTGCTTTGAGACACGAAAGTGGATGGGGGAGGTTTTCTGACAAACCTCGTGCATCCTTGATGTCCTCGAGTCGGGCCCCTGGCTCGACAGGGGTGATGCCGGCTTACCGCCAGTGAGGATGCGACCTGCGCTAGCCTGGTTTCCGCATGCTTCAAGTTGCCCATTTTTTTCTTCTTCCCTCGCTGTCTCGTCTCCGGATTTGCAAGGTGGGAAAATCATTGGATTCGGCAGTACAACCGAAAAAGGAGCGAAGGGGTGTTTCTCTGGGTAGGTTGGAAGATCGGCGTCGATCAACCTAGACACGGGAAAATCTCCTAATGCTGTAGACGATCAGTACCTCACAAACAGCACCCTACCTAAGCTTTTGTCATTTCCTTTGCGCCTCCCATTACAGCCTTACAGCCAGTTCTCGGCACGAAGCGATGTGTTCGTCGCCGCGTGTCTTGGCAAGTCAAGTGCCTTGGCGATTTACCAAGAGAACGACAACGGCAAAAACACCCGAGTTTGACAGCTCCTAGCGGCGTCATCTGGTCTGTGCAAAGTCTCATCACAGCCACAGTTCATTCGGCCAAACAGTTCAGACCTAGCAACTATTCAGACGCGGGCGAGGGAAGAAAAGGGTGTGCGAGGGGGCATGCGACGAGGGGAGCCGGGGGCAGGGAGTCCGCGGGCACAGCGAGTTCAGCGCGAAAGAGGCGAAAGAAAAAGGCGTGCACACTCGCCAGACAGGTCACAGAGACAGCGAGCAGCAGGTTCGAGCATGACGGATGACAGGTGACAGGCGACAGATGACACGCGCGTGTCAGTGTCGTCCAATACCTCAGGCCGTCATGCGTTGCATCTCGTCTCCCCTCTCCTTCTGTCTCTGTGTCTCCCAGCGCCCTTCAGCTTCATCTCATCTCTGCGAAATGTGCCAGATCTGACGGCCAATTGAGCCGCAAGTTGTCGTCGAAGGAGCCCCGCTAAGGTGATGGTGCTCTTGGCAAGTGAAACAATATGCGTCCGGGGTGAGTAGCCCGCGCTCCCCGACTACAGTTTCCCATTTCCCAACGCGGCCTAACAGGCGTTTCAAGATCGTCCTTTTCGATGGTGGAGAACGGTAGCGAGAGCGGCAATAGACAACGAGCAATGACAGTGCCGTCGGCAGACAGTTCCTCGGGGAAATTATTTCGTCAGAGCGCCGCGGTTCAGAAACCGAGGAGATTTTGGAAGGGTGGTTTGTGGCTTTTTCGGCTGATGCAGGTTCGGCGTACGAGTTCGGCTTACAGGTTCGGCGCCAATTGAGCCCCCCCTCAGATGAAAATGAATGACACGGTTCACGCGCGCGGGGTTGGGGTTGTCAGTAACAGACATTAACAACTCCAACAACAATAATTAAAACTCCTTTTAACATTAAGGTAGGAAGAGCAAAAGACATGGGCTCAAATATGACAATTGACAATCTTAACATCATGCTTTCGACATTCCCTCATTCTACATCGGAAAGAGCTGTGATTCGCTCGTTGGCACGTCAGGCTTCTTAGGACATGCAGATAAGGTGTGTTTGGCCTGCATGCGCTGCGTGTGTCGCTCAGCTGAAGGATCTGCGGTAGGGTAGGCCCCTCTAACGGCAGGTTTTGCCTGAGTCTTTTTAGCGCGCTGCCATCGCTGCGCCGTTGAATGCCACGGATGTCGCCCGAAAAAGAGCCTTGTCGATATTGGGATGGACCTACACACATGCTCACTCACATCAATCGCCTCTCCCCGCGCGCCCCTCCCCCCCACAACCACCCGCCGCAGGGCTAGCGACGTTGACGATCTCGCGACGTTTCACGTGCCTCAGACACGATGGGGGGCACCTGTCGCTTCGTCCCTGACCCTATTGGGGATAGGTCTGGTTTGAAGGGCTCGCCGAATTGTCTGAATCGAGGACGAAGGACTAGGGAAGGGTTCATGGGTCGGCATGTCTAGCCGCGGAGCTACGAGCTCTCGGGACGCGACTCTTGGCGTACAAACATTTCCCCCAAGGAATAGAGACTGTAGACATCACCTTTTAAGCTCGAGTATAAAGATCTCGAGATCGTCCGCCCTTCAGTTCATGTTCCTCTCTATTCTTCAGCAGTGTCTTCTTCTTTCTTCTCTTCTATTAACTTCTTATCTTCTATCTCGCCGATTGATTCGTGCGTCAGACTTTCCGTCGCTTCCAATTTCTCTCAAACCAGTCTAATCGCCATCCCGCCATCTTTAATTAACTCAAAATCCTTTTTTCAACGTCCAACGTTCAATCAATCAAAATGGTTTCCAAGACCCTCCTCTTCGCTCTCGCAGCCGCTCCCCTGGTCGCCGCCCACGGCAAGCCTGTTGTTCTGACTGGCAACCTCGGCGGCAACGGCACTGCTCTGGCCAACCAGGGCGGCGTTGTCCCTCTCACCGGCCCCAACAAGAAGGTCAGTCTCTCAACAACAGTAGTCACTCCAACGAAACGCGCGCTAACCACCTCGCAATACAGACTGAAGTCGACACCACTGTCTTCAAGAGCAAGAACATCATGACCGACGGTCTCGGCCGCACCACCGGCAACGGCAAGGTCCAGGTTGCCGACATCGACGCCGCCAACGCCATGTCCGGCGGCACCCTGCCCCAGGTCTCCTCCACCGGCGGCAGCATCTCCGGAACCTTCCACGTCGTCACCACCGACGGTGCCGGCCCTCTCCGCGCTGTCCTCGACCCCACCGGCACCGGCTCCTTCGCCAACGGCGTCGAGCTCACCGCCACCCAGAACGTTCCCGGCAACAACGGAAACATCAGGCCCAACGGCCAGGTCCCCGGCCAGAAGAACGCCCGTGACCTCTTCGAGCGTGCCATCTACAAGCGTGCTGCCAACGTCAACAAGGACTTCGTAAGTAACACCCTCAATATCTCTGCACAATGTGGTAAAGTCCAGGTGCTAACGTCTCATCCCCGATAGCCCATGGCCTTCTCCGTCCCCGACGGCACCCAGTGCACGGGTACCTCCGGCAACCTGCAGAACGTCTGCTTGGTCAAGATCGCCAACAACAACGGCGCCGGCCCCTTCGGTGGCGTCATGGCCATCCAGATCCCTCCCGCTGGCGCTGCTGCCGCCGCTCCTGCTGCCAAGCGCGAGGTTGACTTCGAGGCTTAAGCGACCAGATTTCTTTGGACGGATTTTGAGATTCTGATGGCTCAAGACCCCTGGTGGGCAGCTAATTGGATGGCCACCTGTCATCAGACAACCTTTTCTTCTAGCAGTAGATAGTTAGTTCGGCTCTGCTAATTCACTTTTTTTTCTTCAAAGAAAGTTATTGGTGTTTGTGTGATTGATCATGACATGAGGGGGCCCTCTTGGATTTTGTGAAGGCTTTGGTGTGCAGATCCGCACTCCTTTAACCTCAGGTTTCACTCCATTCTGAGCGCAGTCAGTCTGCTTCCGGGTTCTAGACTCCTTTTAAACTTGGCGTTGGGCTTTCGTATTATCCTCGTCCTATATGTGCCATCGGAGTCTTCCGTCTCAGAGATGGAGACGTACAACGGTGTTCCTCGGTTTGATTGCTCACAAGGGTGAACCCGGTGTGGGAGAGACCTACCCGCCAATCACGGTGCTTCCGTTCTCTACAGCTATCCTGTCACGTTGATGTAGTGAAATGCAATTGGGCGTTATCACTTACTCCGCCACTCTCCACGCTCTTTTCTTCCGTCGTAGGGCAAATTTGGGGAACGTGTGGTCGTTGGTGCTAGTAACAGTTACGTACGCTACTCAGCCTATCCATCCCACCGGATGTTGTGACGACGCGTCGTTCAACACGCATCACCAAACCATGGAGCTGGCTAGAATGCCTCGAAACGGTCGATGGAAGGTACATCAGAGTAATCGCAATAATTGCAGGCCGACTGAGAAGATTTATGCGACCATGTGGCTGTTATGCCATTATGCCAAGCATCTACATCCCTTTTCTGGAAACTTGCCTATTTGGACTCAAAAAGGCAACGCTACAGCCAACGCGACTACATTCGAGGAAGATTCCAACATCAAAAAAAATCAACATATCATTGTCGAAGGGGCTCTTGGGTCTGTCTACCAGCCCTATGGTAGCACAGACGGAAATGCCGTTACGCCAAGATGCCATTCACATCGATGACCCCAGGGAACCCTTTGGACTTACAAAATGCCTGGGCTTCAGACAGATCCTTACAGCATACGCCATCAGACGCAAAAAAATCAGACGTTTACACCTGTTGGCTGTCAAAAGTTCGTCTCATAAGGCCCCCTTTCATATAAAAGCTTGGTGCATGAGGGGCGCGTCTATTTTGGATAGAGTAAGGAGGATCGCCAATTCCGGCTCTAGGTCACGTAAGACCGGGAAACGCGTCAGTGAGATGATGGCGATGGAGGCTTTTCGTGGTCGCCGAGGTCCAAATTTTCGGCTCCGGTAGGGAATGGGCCCGGTCCCCGGTGGGCTGAGTCCCGCGGAGCGGGTCCGAATCCCACCTCCCGACGGCTTGGCCTCCCACCTCCCGGATGGCTTATACCGGCCCCTTACCATTCTGCCCGTAGAATTTCATGCTAAGCTACTACCACACTCTATTCTGGGCCACACGGAGAGCCTCTACAGGTCGAGAATACAGCTGGTCGGCCAATGGGACGTCAGTCAATTACGAATCGTCACCCCAGTTAACCGTCCGCAGCAATACCCACAGCACTCTATCGGGACAACACCGACGGTACAGGGGACGGTCGTAATTAGGCGTCATGCGATAGGAGGCGTAAGGCAGAGGCTGGACTGTAGAGGCTAGCAACGAGGCTCATAGACCATGACGATTTCAAGATGAAGGGATTTTGTATAAGTAAAGGAGGGTTCTCCGCGACAAAGTAATCATTCAATTCATCATCCTCATCACACTCACATTCACAACTCACTCACTCACTCACTACCTCTACCAATCACTTCTTAACCACTCTCACTTTTGCCACTTCCTCCAGTAACCGTCTCAACAACTTCATCTCAGGTTTTTCTTTTCCAGCCAACCGCAACAATGAAGTTCACTGCCTTCGCTCTCACTGCCCTCTCCCTGGCAGCCACCGAGGTTTTTGCTCACCCTGAGAAGTTGACCAAGGAGAACATCAGACGCGAGGCTGCCCTGGCCGGTCGCTCTACCAACAAGTGCGCCGCCGCCATTGAGAAGCGCAAGGCCGAGATCATCGCCAAGCGCTCCCAGCGTCTCTACGAGCGCCGCGTCGCCAACGGCGACATCGTCCCCAGCAGCCACGGCATGTCCAAACGCAACACCCTCCAGTACACCTCCATCCAGAACAACACCTGCCTCTTGGCCCCTGAGACCATCTTCGGCCCCTACGGCGTCGACGGCGAGATGAACCGTCACGACCTTCGCGAGTCCCAGCCTGGTATCGACTTCTACTTCGACATTGGCGTCATGGACATCAACACCTGCGAGCCTTTGGAGGGTGCCTCCGCTTCTATCTGGCACTGCAACGCCACCGGATCCTACGCCTCCTTCACCGGCATCGACCCGGACACCTCCGAGCTCCTCGACGGCTGGGAGAAGCGCTCCGACGGCACCACCGACGACGAGACCTTCCTCCGCGGCGTCCAGGTCTCCGACTCCAACGGCATGATCGAGTTCCTGACCAAGTTCCCCGGCTACTACGTCTCCCGCTCCACCCACATCCACGTCGCCGTCCAGGCCAACGCCTCCAGCGGTATCTCCTACAGCCAGAGCGCCATTCAGCACGTCGGCCAGCTTTTCTTCGAGGAGGATCTGCTCTCCCAAGTCTACGCTGTCAGCCCCTACTCTTCTCATCTGGAGACCCTGAACCGCACCACCAACGACGAGGACTCTGTCCTTTCCAGCGCCAGCGAGGATGGCTACAACCCCTTCATCAGCGTCTCTCTTCTTGGTGACAGCATTGAGGATGGCCTCGTCGGCTACATCACCATCGGTGTCAACGCCACTGGTGAGGAGATTGCCACCACCGGCACCGATGTCAACCCCCAGGGTTGGATCCCCACCGTCTCCGTCGGCACTGCCAAGCTTGCTGAGGCTACTGCTGCTGACGCCGCTGCCGGCTACACTTCTTAAGTCTTATAAGGGGACTTGAACATTGCATATCATGGCGTTTTTGGATTTCTTTTCTTTGTGTTCAGGCTGGTTCATAGCATTTAGCAGCGATGGGGTGACGGGTCTCAGGGGAAGTAGCATAGCAAGGCGTTTGCATATAGATGGTTGGCACACAAAATAGATGCGAATTGATTCCTTAATTTTCACACGTTTCCTGGCTCTTTTCTTTATTGGTTCGTCCGGCTTGCCGTTTGAGCATCCAATTATTTAATAGTTGCAAAAGCAACTTGAGTGAATACGACACCTGCATGGGGCTCTTGGCATTGCGGATCTGTGCGGCCATTCCAGTCACCTGAACACAAGGGAACAGACCCAGTGTCATCGAATTGCCGGAGTTAAACGGAAGGTGCCGGTTTGGGGCCCCGCAAGCTGACACTTGGATTAGATCCGGGCCAGGATGAGTTCCAGTTATTGAGTTCAGGACCAGCCACATTCGCAGTAGCCTGATTCAGAATATGAGCCTTTGCAACTTATGTTATCATACTTGATTCATCGGGGTTCTCAATCACTCCGGTGCGGAGACCGGCCGGCGGTCGAAAATCTCTGGAGCTAGTCACGGGCCTTCGGGTGCGGATCCCGCGCGTTCCCAACGCCGATGAATGAAGTGCGGAGAGGCTTCAGGCTCCGCTCCGCTCCGCGAAACTGTTGAGATGAATGATCTGTCCCGAGTTACATGTTGATTCAAAGCCGCTGTCAGCAAGCGCAGAACGGTATATAAACAAAGATGAATTTTCCACAACGAGAAACCACTGGATTGCGAATCCGATACATCACGACAACTGCAACCGTTCTGCAACCACAACTTTCGTGCTTTCCGTCTATCCAAACTTCATTTCAAAATGGTTATTGTTGCTGTAGCTGGAGGCACGGGTGGAGTTGGTAGAGCCGTCGTTGAGCAGTTGCAAATCAGCGGAAAACATCAGTTCTTCGTGCTGGGGCGCAAGGTAACTACACCCATTGCAATGATTGATACTACCTACTCATAGGGGCTGTTACACCAGCCTTTTCATCCGTTGTATTCACCGAATTCACGCTGATATGATGTTTTTCAAGCCTCCATCCCCCGCCCTCCCAGGTGCTCCTTCCTTTCTCGAGGTAGACTACGAAAATGTCGATGCTCTTGTCAACGTCCTTGAAGAACACAGCATCGACACCGTTATTTCCGCCTTGAACCCGGAATCCGAGAAACCCAGCAACGCTCAGATCAACCTCATTGCTGCTGCGGATAAATCGAAGACGACTCAACGCTTCGTTCCCAGCGAGTATTTCACGCCTGTTGATAAGAAGTAAGGTCACTTGCAAAGTCTTGTAGAGATACCTGGAACTAACTGAAATAGTAACCTCAATGAGTCTTTTGGCGAGCAATACCGTCTGGCAAATGCGATCGCCATCGAGAAGTCAGGCCTGGAGTACATCCGCATCTATGCAGGATTGTTCATGGACTACTGGGCCATGCCCAACGTCCACTCCTACATGATGCCGTTCAGCCCTGGCATCGACATGTCTCTCAAGAAAGCAGTTGTTCCGGGAAGAGGAAACGACGTCATGAGCATGACATACACCATCGACCTCGCCCGCTTCATTGTTCGCCTTCTTGATGAACCTAATTGGCCCAAGACTGCCTCAATCAGCGGCACAGACGCTACTTTCAACGAGATAATAGCTCTTCTCGAAAAGTATCACAGTGAGTAATGGGCCTGTAAAATAGCGCGAGCTTTGAGATCGCCAGACTGACACAAGCCCAGACGCCAAGTTCGAGGTGATCTATGACGATGTAGAGAAGCTCAAGAGCGGGGATGCAACTTTCGTGTCGATACCCGATGAGTCAAGCGGTATCCCCGTGGCGCTTTTGAAGCAGATGACAGTTGCATTCAGTCTCATGGTTGTCAGCGGTGTTTGCGCCTTGCCTAAGGAGGGCCGCTTGAATGACATGTTTCCTGAGCTGCGCCTGACGACAGTTGAAGAGCTTCTTGCGAAGGCTTGGGCTAAGAACTAAGGTTATAACTAACCCCTGAACGCTTCCAGTGGTCCTTTAAGGGGTAGTACAGATTGAGTTTTGATCTCTATTTCATAGAAACATGTTTGTATGGCAATCTCCATGTTTGGTCTCGCACTGCTTTCACACCTTCGCCGTCCATGCGGATCCAACAGCAGCTATCCTAGCAGCAGCCAGGAAGAGACATGCCAAAAAAGTGACCACTCCAGCCCAAATCTGCGCCCAAATGTACTTTCCGGTTCCGTCAACGATCGCTCCAGCAATGGGTGGGCCTGCAAAGGATGCCACACCGACGATTGTCGCCACCATACCGAAGCGGACTCCCATTTTCTGGGGGTCCTCCGTCAAGCTCGCCAGCGCTGGGGTGAAGATTCCTTGTGCGAAGCCATTCGCAATTCCGAATATGACAGACAAAGCATACAAACTAGGTCTGTTGCGAACTCCGATCCACGCGAAGTACATCACACCCACGAGACCATTGCTGAAAATGAATGTGTTGATCGCGCCCACGTATCCTGCTAGGATGCCAGCCAGAGCACGACTCGGAATTCCAGAAGCATTGAGAATGAGAAGAAGTGCCACTGAGTCCGTATATGAAAGTCCGATAGCGACCTGAGCAAAGGTGTTGATCTGGTGGCTGTTAATTTACCTGATCCTAATCTCCAAGAGATGACACCTGTAGACACGGTTTACTTACGTAGAAGAAGCTGAAGTAAAGTGCAAGGAAGAAGAAGAAAGAGCCAGCAGCAAAGAAGGAGTAGGTTCTTTCTTTGAATGCCTCCAATTCCAGGATTGGCCCTGACTTTCTCGGCGGGAGGCGAGGCTTGAGAAGTGTGCAGGCGATGACGGCGAGGACAAGCATCATGAGTGCTTGGCATCTGACCGCCCATGGGAATCCGACGTGAGGGATCGTGTAGTTGAGAAGCGTCGGAAACGTGACCGATCCAAGTCCAGTGCCCACATTCGCAATTGACAGCGCTAATGTTCTTCGTTGCTTGAAGTACGACCCCACAATGGCAATTCCTGGCATGAACATGATACCCATGCCGATACCGGTGTACAACCCTTGTGCCAGGAAGATCTGCCAGTACTTGGTGCAGAAGCTGGTCAAAAGCGTACCCGTCACGGCCATGAAAGAGCCCCCGATGACAGCATGTCTTCCATAGCCAGCATCGACCAATCGTCCCGAAAAAGCGCAGATTCCGAAGGCCAGAAATATTTGAACCGAGCCTACCCACGAGACTTGGGCTGACGGCAGGCCCAGCGTTGTTGTGTAGTAGGCTTGATAGGCGCCGTATGAAGAGGGGTAACCCCACGAAATTTGGTTTGTTATGTTGCAAGCGACGACTTGCAACCAAGCTCGTGCGCCTCCATCGGGAAATGTCAATATTTCTGGAGGAGATTGTAATGATTCATCGTCTCGTAGGTCGTTCCGTGCGCTCTTCTTCTCGGGATCGGCAGTCTCGTGCCGATGATATCCCACCGGCTCCTCAGAGGAGCTTGACCGCTGGATCTCTGGGCTCAATGGCATTGTTGGCGTTGTTTGGGGCGTCATAACACGGTTATAAACGTCAATTGAATGTAGGAGTACTTAATCTTTGCTGTGTGACAACACAGAAAAGGATTCCGCGTAGTGTTCGATGTCAAACGATGGGCGCGCCTTATCTCTCATATCGCCGATGACTGGGCAATCAAGCGAAAGTGACTCATGTAAACCATGCACCGATCCCCTTGAAATCGCAGAACAAAAGGGGAAAGTAAACCCCTCCTTGACTCGGAAACAAGCCGCACGAAGGACAGAAACCAAACCAACCTAACGATTGCAGGAGTTGCTTATCCGAGAGTCTATCTTCCAAAGCTTGGCTTGTTCAACAAATGAGTGGGAGAGGTGCCGGTCTTCCGCCCCCTGTTTCAATTAACCCCAAAACTCGCGGTGAGCATCATCAACTTCAATTACTATCGCACGAGCTCACGCATGCAGCCTTCAATCCGAATGTCAATCCATGGCCAGAGAATATTATGCAGATCGCCGACGGCTAGATGCAGTCCCGTGCTTTAGCATCTACAGACAGATTGGACGTTGTTATTGCATTGTCGTATTCTGCTTTTTGGTACTTCGACCAGATCTTGTTTTGATCTGGAGCACAAAACAAGCCACAAGCACACCGGCGCCGCTCCGACGCCGATTCTGCCATGGTCCCACTTTGTCGGACACCGGCACGGAGCCGGTGACGTCTCGGTGGAGTGCTCCACTGCACGGAATGTGCAAAATGCCGTCCAAGGCCTGGGAGATGTCAGCGGGCTAGGCCTGCTGACACAGTAATCTCTCTTGGAGGCCAGGGGGTTTCCAGACTCAATATTCCAAGATCACTCCGCCAAGGGTTCGAAGGGCCTAGATGCATCATGCTCCAGTCTTAGCAAACAGTCGATCGCGATGCAACAGCAGGCAGATAGTTGGGAAGGCTCTCAGAGGCGCAGCAGCCATGTCTGCCTTGCTCTGCAACTATCAACAGCCTGCAGATGTCTCTAGAGTGAGGCCTGTCGGGCGCTGCCCCGTACCCAATCAATCACGATTTACCCCTGCTGCTATTGGGCCGGGCTACTGCGCCCCAACAGTCCATTTCTGTCTCAAGAACCCCATTCATGCTTACTTCTGCGAACCATTCGCATCTCACTCCAATCCAGCACGCCATTCTCTTCGTACGATCATCGCCTGGGGCCATGTGGAAGCCGTTCCGACGGCTTGGGTATCCCCGCGCGAACGATGGGTTCCAAGGAGTACACTGACTTATGCCGCGACATTCGCCGCCGCCTCCTGGACAATCTGGAGAGGAAGGACTCGGACAAGTTTCGGTTCGCCACTCGGGATACAGCAGCCAATGTGCTAGAATCTCATTACCTCCGACTATTTTTCCAAAGCATCAACGATGACCATTTCTCAATCTCGGCAGACGACTTTACTCGGAATATTCGAACACGAAGCCTACATAACTTCATAGCTATCATTGCATTTGCCGGTTGTAGTATTGATGCTGCGAGGGTTTTCACGACTAAGCTTGCTGCCGCAGACATTTGGCCTGTTAAGCAATCGCACATCAAGGATGCTACTTCTCTCCCAGCTGATCGCGACAGTCTACGAGAATTTTTCGTGGGATGCGATTCAAATGATGCAGATATCTTCTTCGGTTCACAGGCAATCTTTTGCACCGTTGTGCTACTTCAAAGGGAAGAAGTGATCGTTCATGACTCTGAGACTCAGCGACTTCCCTACTTGAAGGAAAAGCAAATCGGTTCAGGATCGTTTGGAAAAGTTTACATGGTCAAGATCGCCCGAGGCCATATTGAGGATCACCGTACCGATGAGGTTTCAAACAAGCCACGAGAGGTTGCGCGGAAGGATTACATCGTTCAGTCATCTAGCGACATGAGTTCTCAAGATGAGGGCAACGTCATGAAGATGATCCTTAGCGCCTCAAAAACCTGTGAAAATATCCTGGAGAATCTTGGCACCCTTCGCGTCGAATCGCCTCTAGGGACCGACCATTCGCCAACCTACAGTCTTTTCATGCCGCTGGCAATATGTGACCTTGGCGCCTACATGAAAAAGGACATTTCAACTTCCATCAAGATACCAAAAGAGCGAGCGAATCTTATCCGATCCGCCATGGGTCTGGCGACAGGACTCAACTTTCTCCACCACGAATTACAGACTTCGGACCTTGAAGATGTTGTGTGCTACCACATGGACCTAAAACCCAGCAATATTCTTGTTTTTCCAGGCGAAGATCGGGAGCATCGTCAAATTTGGAAGCTGAGCGACTTTGGGATGTCGCGAGTCAAGGTTCGACGGAGAAATCATGCTGAGCCCGAGGAGCGAGACTTTAGCGTATGGTTTAGACCACGGCCGGAAGTACACGAGGATGCTCCATCGGGAACGCAGAATAGGCGAGGACAAGGAACCTACTTGCCTCGAGAATCCTTCCTCGCTGGAAAAGTCATGAACACCAAGAGCGATGTCTGGTCTCTTGGCTGCGTACTGAGTGTTTTCTTTGCTTATCTTGAAGGTGGTGCGGACAGCGTCACTCAGTACACAATTGACCGGCTGAAAGATCGCAAAGGGTTGGATGATGGTTCGGATAGTTTTGTCTGGGAGAAGTCGTTTGGGAAATTTGCTCTTCACCATGCAGTCCTAGATTGGCATCATCAGCTCGCCAACAAAGCCGGCGCACGAAGCTCAGGAGAGAAAAAGGTGGTTCACACAATCCTCAGCTTCCTTGAGCACAAGGCTCTGAATTTGGACCAGGAGAAGAGGTGTACGGCAAAAGACGTCGAGAACGCTCTGAAAGAAGCAATGGCTGCATATCGTCATCTTGAAAGCTCTCCAGTCCCCGAAGAGCCCAAGAAAACAAGGAAACTTTCAATTATAGAGAGGTAAATCATTAAATTGTCCTGCAATACTCTATTCTAAATTCTAATCAGCTAACACACGTCCAGAATCCGGAGCAAATCACCGGAAGCGAGACCTAAAGGCGACCGTTCTATTCAGCAGTGGCGTCTAGCTCAGGATGCCGATGACACAATGAAAAGCTGCAAGATCTCGCCAAATGGGACTATGCTAGTCTATTGGGGTGACTACAAACTCATACTCTTTACTTCTCTTTCTGCTCCACTTGAAAGTGAGAAAGCTTTGAGTCCGGCGGCCGAATTCTCCCTTGCAGGGTCCGCTTTCTACTGGAAAGCGGTAGCTTTGACTGAGAGGTACCTGATTGCCACGACTACTGGCGGTACATTTAACGTGAGTCACCATACAGGTACCTTCGAAGAAACCAGAGGGAATGGTTCTAACATCGGTTAACAAGTGCTATATATTTGACCTCGAAGCTGGACAATCGGTCAATGCAGATTTGGAGACATGCTATCATGTGACGCTACCGCACCCCGAAGTCAATAACTTGGCTATTTCAGCAGACCATCAGGTTATGATTTGTACACTTCAGAATATTGAGAATGAGAGGCTTTCGGGATCTTTGTTCCAAGCGCGAATCTTAGACCTGATTGAGTCCGGGTGAGTGGTTCCTTCTACGGGCTGAGACTATGATGATCATGACTAACTCTTCTTCAGACGGAAGGTCAACCCTGAAAGTACAGGTTGGGTTTCAGATAGAACCAATACGCCTCTGAACTTTCAATCACCATTGAAATTGAGCTGGCCGGCTGAAGATACAATCAGCATGTCACTCCGCAATCAAACCGATGGATACATGGTTGTACGGCCTGAGCTGACAAAGCACGACATACACAAAGTATCTATCGTCCATTTCTCTTTCAAGACTAAGAGTATTGATAGAGTCGATCTCATACCGCAAGTGAGTACACAATCTACTTTAAAAGGATGCGCTGTTACCTAGTCATGCAAGTTGCTGATCGCAGTGCACAATCGTAGGGGCTCGACAGTAACACAGCTCCTCTTTTCACAGCCCTCTCTGAACTTCACACCGAAATATCTTGTGTAGTCGTCTCTCGAGAAAGACATCTCTACAAGCTTGATTTCCCCAATGCCTTGGGTAGGGACAGGCCAAGTCAGCTGCACAAGATAATTGACAAATATCGCATCCTGAAGATCATGGTAAACAAGAAAGACGATAAGCTCCTCGCTTTCGGGACGAAAAGAGCAAGCCACAGAATCATTCTACTTGAGATCAGCATGCCGAACACGAAGGATCCCGTCGGCGTTAAAGAACTAGTGCAACTTCCCGGGCTTTCTGATTACGATGAGTTCACGGTCAGACTAGTCGACGTGGAGGCCAATCGTCACGTTCTTGTAGCTGCGCTTGTTGAGGGGAACCGTTATGCGATACACAAGATCACTCTTACCGGTTTACAACCCTCATCGACATTTCGGTCTTCCTAGGGAGGTTGGCTATCAAACAGCAAGGGAATTCTTCTCGGCAAATGTGCTTCTCTTTCGGACCCATATCTTCAGCTGGTTCCATTCCCCCGCTTTTGGCAAGACCATCTTCCGTTTGCCAAAGGGACCTCCTTCCAGGAGCATGTGGTAGATGATGAATGTAGCAGCAGTAAGTATAACCGAAGCAACGACGTATATCCAGATCATCGATGTGCTAACAATCCTGTTGTTCTCATCATCCAAGTCGAAGAAGTTCATACCAAAGAAGGTCTATAGACGTTAGCAAATGATTTTCCTGGTACTCGGAGTTAGGAGCAAGGCTTACAGCAATGAACGATGGCGGTAGATACAGCAAGGTCAGAGTAGTAATAAAGACCACCGACTTATTGAGGTTTAACATATTCTCGTTCTGCTTTCTTGTGTCTAATTGTTCTCGGAAAGACAAAGTGTTGGCGAGGAGTTGTGCTGTCGTCTGGGCTCGTTGATGAAGGTAGGAAGCCGTTCGAGAGAAAGCACCACATTGGCGCCGGAAGTTCTCAAAGTCTACAGACGATGGGCTCGCCGCAGCGTGGGTCTTGTTGTTTTGCCCGAAGTTACACAGCTCAGACAGTTCTTTTAGAACATCCTCTGACGAAGCAAGGATGGCTGGTATCTGGAGAAAACGATTCTCAATTCTGGCCAGTGTCGTGAGGTGACTAGACGTTTGGGTAGATGGCTCCTCGATGAATGTGGCAAATGTTGTAAGCGCCTAGCTCAAGTCAGCATCTTTCGTTGTCAGTAGCACTTGGTTCTTTTGTGAGGCTCTAACCATAGGCAAGAACTGTCGCTCAAAGTGAGCAATGTATAACCTCCACGACGGCAGATGGGTCTCATGAAGAACTCTGTGCAGCCATAAGGGATCGAATTCGTTATTTCTGGAATGTTCAAACAGCCACTCTTGAGCTTTTTGATTTGCTTTCGCACCGGGCATCGGGTTGAATAATATGCAGAGATTTTGGCTTGTCTTGAAATTGGTACGATGGTAGACACCGGTCTGTCTAATGACCCACTTGTTGCTCTCCGGCTTGAATTCGGGGTATCGAATGGTGTATGCCGCCTCTGATCGAAAGCTGTGTGTCAGGAGTGTGAATTCTTCATCTCTCTGCATATGACATACCGACGACCGACCCAGTCCTGCGCTCCGTGAAAGGCATGCAAAACACTTCTTCGACATCCATGTTCCGGACGTAAAAGCATGATGCCAACTCCCAGAGTGAGTCGCCTAGCTCAAAACCGTCTATGAGTAGCTCCATCATAGGCTTGGTGATCTGCAGCGGTCTCCATGAGTTGCGTTGGCATATCGATCTAGGAACAAGGTGAGTGAGTTGACAAGGTGGTGAAGCTCGATCGCGTACATGAAGCGGTAGGTGAAGTCTCTGTTTCGGCCATCTTCCATGTATGAACTCAGGCTCTGCGGGTCCAAGAACTCATGAACAGCCAGGTCGCTCTTGTCATTCTCAGCTGAAGAAGGTGGGACTTCAATCAGTTTGACCGGCTCGATGGCTTCGTCGACAAAACATTGTTGTAGCGATGTCATTATTGATGCAATGCTAGGCAGTGACTGAGAATTCCACAACGTAAAACTAACAGAAAATACAGTCCTGTGATCCTCTGCACACATAGGTGCTCATATGTACTTCCCGACCTCAGCAGGCTGTTCTATGTACCCCGAAAGTAATGCGCCCAACCTATGTTCCAGCGCTTACATGCGCTGCCACCGCTAGATCGGCACTGCCGACCGGAGGCTCTCGGGATTCAATCACCTCATTGATCGCGGATGGCACTGGTTGCAAAATTTTCATTAGCAAATCGTCGAACCACGCGAGTCTACCTCGGGCTGTTTCTTTACTCAATCTCAGCCTACAGGTGACACTAGTCAGTGAAATTCCATTTCATCTTATACATTTGAGCAATGGGCGCGTTTGACATACGCTGTCGACCTCCTTTGGTGCCTTGAAGTGCCATACGTCATCCCTCATCTGCAGGCTACGGTTCAGCTGACAGGGGTCCAGAGGAGGGGGTAAGGGAGGGGCTTGGCGGCAAGGCATACTTCAATATTGAACTCAGTCTGCCCCGGGAAGAGCCTCTCAAGGAGCCTCTGCAGGCTTGCCTTCTTCAGATACCGATTAGCAACGTTTTGCTCAACCTGGCCCATGTTGAAATGCGCCTCGGCTATTGGGTGTTTGGGCAGTGTGGTGCACAGAGATAATCAAGATTCTAGAGAATCAACCGATACAAATAAGTCGCCAGTCGCTGTTGGTAGCAATGCAGTGGCAGGAGAAGAGCACACTTTTGTTCGGTAGCAAACCGCTGACAAACGACACGTCACCGAAGGCCCAGGCTGCTACTCTGACTGTGTCCAGGACTGTTTCCGCGGTTCGCGCACCAGTCCTGTGACAGTAGATGGAGTGTGTGACACCAGACCTTGGCGAATAACAGGTGGTTCGACTCCGAGCTGAACACACCTCCTGGCACCTGCAGGCAAGCATATGCTGCCTCTGCGGCCGCAATAAGATGTTTGCCCAGAACACTTCAGACCCATCTGGCTCGGGCCCGAGATGCGCAGGCTGTTTTGCCTTCCAAATTCGGGTTAATATTCTCCATGTCTAATACGTCGGGGCTAAGAGTATGCTCGGGAATGCGGCGGGAGCAAACATGTGCCGTCATATCATGTAGCATGCCGGAGGTAACCCGATAAGGAAGGTGAGAAGGCAGGTGATGATGGATAAGACATACAGTTGGCAGCCTCACTCTGGAATGTGTCCTTGTAGAATACAAGTTTAGGGCTCATTAAAGATGAATGGGGTCAGTTCTTAGCAGGCCGAGGTCGACACCGCCTAAGATAAGGCGGTCACAGCCCCAGCCCCAACCCTTCCAAGATGATCTCTGGGCGGAAGCCTAACTGTGGCTGATGCTCCAGCCCTCTGCAACCTCTTAGAAGTAGAAAAAAACACATAAGACATGTTTGGCCGATGAAAGTTTGCCCTGCGCCCGGCGGGAAGGCAGCGACAGGCTGCGAATTTACGGTTACCTCCTAGATCGCGAAAGATTGTCAAAACACCTGAGCATTTCAGTCACGCTGGATTTTGATTCGCATGACTTCTTCCTTCATACTATTTGTGTTGCCATAAGCCAGGCGTTTTGCGATTACATGTAAAGTTGTAGTTCTCAATTGCTGTGATGCCGATGATGACGGACCCGAACGGGGCCACCCCCACTTCGGACTGGATGCCGGACTGGATACCTCGCGGTTCCACGGAAATGGGGCCGGTGGTATCACCTCTGTCCCCGAGCGCAATTCCCGAGAGTCCCTCCAACGTTCTTATCCATCAAAAAGCTAGTGACTATGGGCCATCCGAAATTTCCGATGGGAACCAGGGCTTCACCGAGCGACCCCCGATCGAGGTTCTGGTGAAGCCAGAGCCGGACCGTACTGTCAAGAGAAAGTTGAAGGGATTACATCTGTTCGTAAGTGACACTATTGGTCATCTCGTATCTAGTTGTAGTTTGCTAAAATTCTTCAAGATGATTACCATTAATGGAACATTGGGAACAGGCCTCTACTGGAGAAGCGGTCAGATTCTCGAAATTGGCGGCCCTCTCGCTGTCCTGTTCTCTTTCGTCCTCGTTGGTCTCCTAGCTTGGGCTGTCATGCAGTGCGTCACGGAGCTTTTATGCATCTGGCCTGTACCAGGTGCGCTGTCTGTCTACGTTGGCACCTTTGTGGACCACGAGCTTGGGATCGCTGTCGGCGTTGCATATTGGTAAGCGACTCCATCAAACCTAAGATCGCCTCAAGATTGAGTTTGATGATTCTAATCCGCATAAGGTTTACGTACGCCGTCAGCTTCTCTGCGCTCATTGCAACTAGCTCTGCGTTGATGAACTTTTGGATAGACCAGTCGAACCAAGGTCTATCAGTAGGAATTGTCTATGTTCTGATTCCCATCATGATGGTGTTTGTAAACGCATTCGGCATTGAAGTAAGTAGTTACTGGTCGTCTTACCATGCTCGTCTCACATCATTTTAGATATATGGGCTTGTTGAAGTGGTCACAGGAGGCATCAAGATCGCCTTTCTGATCGTCATCGTGGTGGCTCTCATTGCTATCACTGGAGAAGGTACACCTCATTCCCGACATTGATCGACTCAACAGCACTGACTCATGACCTCCTCAACAGGTTCTGCATCAGGCGGAGAGGCCGTACCTAGTCAGTTTGCCTATTATACGCTATGGTCATATGTCTAATCAAAACTCCAGTTTTCAAGGATCCCTTCCAGTATGATGCCGACGCAGCACCAGATTGGGGCGTTGCTCTTCTGTTGGTCTGCCATCAAAATCTTCTCTGAACCTCCCGCTAATTAGACCTACCAGTATGTCTCTATCAATCGCAGCATTTGCCTATGTTGGCGTCGAAATAGTCGCAGCGTCAGCCCTAGAAGCGAAATGGCCAGAACCTCGTCATCGCCCGTCCCAAGAAGGTTCAGCTGCTGAATCCCGACCAACAAATGCCGAAACTCTCATCGGACGCACTGTCAAGTTCTCGGCCATCTTTATTTCAGTGCTTGTGGGCGTGGCATATACACTCAGCGGCATGCTCGTCTCCTTAAACATTAGGCCCGATGATTGCGCCCTTCCGCATCTTAGCTGGGTCCAAAACACCACGGCTTGCAAATGGTATTCTGATGAGGACAGAGCCCACCACAAGAACGCGACATCTTCTGCTTTTGTGGTCATCGCGGGCCGGTCCAACGCCCGGATTCTAGACCATGTTTTCAACTTCTTCCTGGTTTTCACGGCCCTCACATGCGCCAACACGAACCTTTACGTGGCTTCACGAAGTTTGTTTGGCTTGACAAGTCGCTTAGATGGAGGTGCCGGGCAACCATGGGTGTTGAGAACCCTGGCTTGGTTCGGAAGGACGAACAGACGCAAGGTGCCATTGAGAGCGATGGTCTTCTCGGCGATCGCGTTCTGGTGGGTACCTTTCCTCCAGATTTCAGGAGGCACTGACACAAATACTCCCATCGGCATGGTTTGTCGCCCACGTATTCGGGAGTCCAGTGAGAGCAATTAATTAATTTCCTTGCGTAGTTTATCGAGATTCTAGCCCAGATGGGCTCTGCTGGTGTTGTTATTGTTTGGGCATGTCAGTGCCTGGCTTTTATTCGGTATTATCACTGGTATGTAGCCTTTGTCTGATGCAAATTCGGTCATCTAACTTGGCGTAGCATCGACAAGCACCGACGTGCTCTTGAGAGCCGAAAGATTGCTCAAGTTCAGCGCTGGAACTACGAAAGAAGCGATTACCCTTATCGAAGCCATGGACAGCCGTTCCTAGCCTACATGGCCCTGATCAGCTGTTTGTTTCTGCTACTAGTCTCTAATGGCGCAGCGCTATGGAAAAGTTTCAACATCTTGCCATTCTTGTCGGCGTATCTCGCTGTAAGAAGACAATCGTCTTGTGGGGTTTTTATGTCGCTAACTCTATGATTGCAGATCTTCGTCTTCCTGGCTTTATGGGTATGTCTGAAACTGTTCAGAGGCGCCAAATGGTCTTTTGAGGACCTTTCAGATAGGGAGAGGGTGATCAAAATAATCAGGCATCTGCATGAACTGCGAGCGGGGTCAACTTGAAAGTAGGCCTCTCGAAGGCCTAGAGCGAGTCTGGTCAGACAAGGTTTCTGTTATGATATCATAGAGTCTTTCTTCGTTAGAAATGATATTAGCTATAAGAGATAGTGCGCTGGTGGACCAAAATTCACCAACTTCACGACAAGAGTGGGATAACTGAAGCTGTGACACTATTCTGGGATATGACTACGTCTTTCTGAACCCCTACGTCTAAAGGACTCAATCTACCTGCAAATGGCTAACTTCCTTCCATGACTCGAATTACGACCGCTGAGTTGACAAAATTGACTGGATCAGAGGTTCCATAATCTTCTCCAGGTCCTTCTGAACATCCTCTGGACTGCGATTTGTGTCCACCTCAAAGACCTTCATGCCCTTCTCTTCAAGTTTGGCCACCACGAAATCCACATTGTTATAGAACTCATCAATCCGGCGCATCGCAGTCTCAGGATCCAGGTCCTCCGGTCTCGCCTCCGCCCCAGCCTCATCACCCCGGGATGCTACACGCTGTTTGGAGATATCCTGAGGACACTTCAGGTATACCGTCAAGACCGCGGGTGGCAGTAAATGAAGCCATTCCTCAATCTGCTCCGGTCTTCGCGGGAAGCCGTCCACGAGCCAGAACTCCTTACCTTCGAGTCCTCCGTTGCGAATCTCCCGCCACAGCAACCAGGCGCCCATATCGTCGGGGACGCTGGGGTTTCCGGTGTTGGGCTTGGTCTTCAGTCCGGATACTCCCGGGTCCCCGCTCTTGCGCAGACCGCGCATCAGGTCCCCGTACGAGAGGTGTTGCAGGCCGAAGTGCTTGACCAGGAAGGTGCTCTGTGTGCCTTTGCCTGCGCCGGGTGGACCGATTATGAAGATGATGAGTGCGTCGTCAATGGGCTTGCGTCCGGATTTGTACCACAAGGAAGCGCCAACCATGAAGCTCAAGTATGGCAGGAATTTCGCGAGAGTTTCAGCAATCATCGTGTTGTTTGACGTGTAGATTCGAAAAGTTGGAGAGAGTTGTTTGATTTCGTGGTGCGTTTCTGCTGTTCGAGGAAAGATTATTGTGATTGGATTGCTATGATGTTGTGTTAAGTCCAAGATAGGCCGGCTTCTGATCGTTTTATACGCGGTTCACATCTTCATCGAGAACATTCAAGTCCGATCTATCACAGCTATCATATTTCATAAGAAATGACATTCTGGGTATGTCACACCGCCTCCTTCCTTTGATCTAGATACGGCTTATTGCGACAATGCAATGTTGGATTCATGCTGCTGGTTCATGCGACCACACCTGTAACAGCAGAGTCAATGAGATCCGAAAACGACTTCGATGGAATCGTACCAAAGTGACATCGCCTTTATCCACACTATAGCATACGACATATGTGACAAAAGGGCACCTTTTTCGACAGAGGCGGCCATGAAGATCGAAGCTGCTTTGGCTGGGGTCTTCAGCCAGACCTTGCCCGCAATTTCTGTGCCCCTGAGACTTGACCGAGTCTGTAACAATGACTCTATTGTTTTGCGGAATAATTTTGGCCGAGTAGATCTTGCGACCGCAGCCATCTTTGGCATGGTCTGCTGACTAGTGCGGTCATCGGAAGTTTCTTTTGCGTGCGTCTCTTCTTTTTAGGGCGACATAAAGTCAAGCCCAGATCCCAGATTGTTCGACCTCTCAAACGCATCAATCTAGCCAGGCATAAACCCTTCCACCTATCTTACCTCATGAACGCGAATACTCTAGGGACTCTAGCACGGGACTGGCGTTTGATGTCGATTCGAATAGAGAACGAAGACTCGATGTAGTCTATTGATAGATAAATGTCCTTCGACTTGAAACCCAATACGTGTGTTCAAGTTACAACACACGCCATCTTAACGAGTTACTCAATTAGCTGTTGTGTTTCTGAAACCGTTTGTTGTTGGAATCGTGTTTAAGTAGGCTACTTCACATCTCATAACATATGTCGATGATAGTCTCTTGAGACAGTTGATATTCAAAACAGTTCTAACGAAAATAGCATTGAAAGAGGCGATCTTCACCTTCAGCATTAAGGACCTGATCAAGGGAGTGTGATTTTCTGTATACTTTTGATTGTGGATATGAGATATCTGAGAACTCGTGTTGATAAAATTATTTGATGTAGTATCTAAGTCTACTCTACGAAGATGGCGGGGGCTTAGGAAGCTGCTCGTTGCCCTCCTTCTCGGGAATGATGTCTGGTTCCTCTGCCTCCTTAGGAAGAGGTTCGGTGGAACCAGAACAGCCTTTTTGGTCCACAATCCCACCATAAAAGCTTTCTCTATACGCGGCGTTCAACTGAGTCTGAAAGTTGGCATCGATAAACGGGACTTGCGTTTTCTCGTAGCGAACGTCTGAGAGGGCATCTTGAGCCTCCTTTGAGAGAGAATCCCAACCAACAATGGTACGCTCAAATAACTTATCCCCATCAGCCCCAGCAAATGGGGACAATGCGATGTCGTGAATTTGCATTTTCGGATGTGTCGCCTGGTCAACGCCCACTTGTGAGCTACTGAATGAGATCTTGCCGGTAGTAGCAGTGTCCCAGCTGAGATGGTCGCTTGTAAACGACACACCGACGGGGAAGTAAGACGTTGCATCGTCATCTTCACAGCCAAATTGATTTACCCAAACAACCACACTAGCCCAGTAGTGGCGATGACCCTCGTCATTATCTTTGCCCCAGCGAACCTTGGGCATATAATAGGAATACATGATCCCAGTGCGATCCAGACTCTGACCACGCCTGACATAGACTTGAGCAGTACCTCCAGCGTCGCAACCACTCCGGCCGCCACCTGTTGGTTTCAACCCAGCCCTATATTTCGAAATTAGCATTTCAACACTGATTACTTTTTGATATGTAACAAGTTAGGTATGTCTTACCCAAGAGAGCCATCTGAAGCAACAGCTGGGTATGGATCGCAACCGCCCGAAACGAAAAGGAAAGGGTTGAATCGAAGTTCTAAGTGTCCGTCGATCCCTGGCGAAGGGCTTTGTGTGTACGCAGTGACATGATTGTGGTCAGTTATTGGATGACCCCCGTAGTCATCACCACCCCGTGGCAAAACAGAAGACAGGGAGCCGCAGATAAAAAGAAAGCTAAGAAAGGGTCGAATCATGCTGAAGTTGGTGGTTGATTCAGATGAGGATGAAGAATTAAGTTCGATGGCCCTGACCTAGGGGTAGATCGGCAGCAGCTAGGGATGTGCACGATAGGCAAGCTGTGTTCTGAGAAGAAGTAGTAGCGGCACTCATGAGAGCATGACCAACTTTGCTGTATGAAAACGGGATATTTATTAGATGCACAGCTGATGTCGAGCTGTGGCTCGGTTATTACCGATGATCCGCTACCTACGCTGAATAGACTCTCTCATTCACGACACCGAAGAAGAAGATTATAGATCAACAGCTCATTGACGGCATTTCCGGGTGCTGCGTGCCTTTCCATGACCTGGCACAGCAAATTCAAGAACCCATGAATATTGCAGATCAACGGGGCGAGTTTCTCTAAGCAGGGCAAGGCTCAATCTTTCTTCCCTTCTAAATTTTCTTCTTCACAGTTCTTTTTGGCTGCCTTATGACTCTCACGGGGAAATGTTCGTTGAGACTAGGGTTCGCACATCAGTACTGGGCGGAGTCATCCGGTGGCTGTTGCTCCCATCCCGGCGGGTTGGTCCGCAACAACGCAAAGAAGGTTTAGAATGGTTTAACAAATTTCGGGATTGGCGAAATATTACACATGGCTTTGATCACGGATTCTTCCGCGGTAATCTCCCAGTCTGTGCATCGTGAGGTTGTGTCCGTTGTGCAGTAACAGAGCGAATCCTTTGGATATAGACAGCACCCTTCTTGCTCTCTACTTAAGGTCCAGACCTTTGCCACATGCGTACCACCTGCTCAGAAGTCAAGACACTCTTTTCCCCATTCAAAATGTTTTGTAACGCTCTGAAATACGCCATCCTTGCTTCTGTTCTCGCTGGCTGTGTCGCCGCGGATCGTGTTCTGATTGGCTTTCGAGTGGTCAGTGCAGTACGTTGATCACCTTGCTTGAGTTCATGGATTCTAATGTCACAGCGCCCTTCATATTCTTCCCTTTGTGCTAATACGGCCATTTTAGAAAGAGGCTGCCATCATCAATGACAAGTCCAATATTTTCCGTGATTCGGAGTACGATGATTTGGCTGAGGGACGTGGATCAACCCAGATAGGACGTGGAGTTTATCTATCTGGAAGCCCAGTCGGATGGCACGCAAGTTCTTCAAGTTGGCAAGTCATTCAATCATGCTTGGAAGGGACTCTTAGCTAATGTGACAATAGGTACTGTTACGTTAAGGCAGACGAAAGCAGACTGGACTCGACACCCAAGACTTGGATTCCAAAAATTTCGGCATCTGGCACCCATTTGTGGGGCGCATCAGAAAGCACGATTTTGAACTACGTGAGGGCACAAATGGAATCTGGTGAAGATGAGGACAATTCTTTGCGCTTGGGATTGATTGAACTCAATGAGCCTAATGAGCAATTGCTCATTCCCACAAGTATGGCTAACAACGATGCACTGGATTTCTATGCCAGGTGTTTTGCGAGCCAATATGAACTCAGCCAGCACTACTGGGAGGTTGTTAATTATGACTCTTGGACGAAGCAGCGTGGCCGGAAGGAATAGACGCTGGACTAAGAAATTTTGTTACTGTAATATTAGTTGAAGAAGAATGAGTCGATCTTTGTTCAGGAAGTTTTGAGCCCACCTAGTAGGGGTTTTCTTGGCGTATGGAAAATGAAGCGTCGCGTGGTCAGCCTGTTGTAGATAAACCGCTCAGACTGAATACTTCGTTGTTGTGCTCCTTGTGACAGGATCATCTACAGAGTCTTACTTTCCGATCACGCCCTCACGGTTACGCACGACCGCTGTGGTCTTGAGCGGGTGACGACAGTGCAAATTTCTCCAATCCCGACCACCAGTCTCGACGTTGGAAACTTCATGAACTCTTGCAGTGTTTCTACGGACAACATCAAAGTCGTGAAAGTAGATGATCTCCTTGGGCAAGATATCCGCGATGCCCTTCGCTGACAGTAAAAATAGTTGTGGGGTTGCCAATTCTCAGCCATTTGCGAGAAGCTGGATTTCGATGGTGCTGTCTTTTAAAATCAAAGTTCAATGATGGCATCTCCGAGTCTAATTTTCATTTCTAATATTAATGCCCGCTCTAATCACCGAAATGGGTCAAAAAGTCGCGTAAATCTCTGGCATTGCGTCAATTTGAGTGCAACGGAGCCTTCCGATCTCTGGGTTTATGACCTCCTATTTATGCAAATGTAAGTAAGAGAGGAGGCGATTTGCCGTGCAAACTATCATCACATACTAGGGAAAAGCTCAGAAGTCTTTGAGACCACCTGCTCCAACACGCCCAGCAACATCAGTGTCAGCTCGCCCATCTCAAGGTATTCTCTCGCCTGCTGAGTATCGCAGCCGTTTCTCTATGTCATGCATCATGCTCTGAGAGTTGTTGTTTTCTTTGCCCTCGTCTCAGTGAGCAACTCTGAGCGAGCGGAACCAAGAAAGTCTATGTTTGCACCGTTTGCGGCTCATCACAACACAACTGGTATCGCCCAATTGACGACCTTTTCGACGACCACGGTTCTTCCCTCCAAGACAATTCCTTTTTCCGCGACATCTTCAGCCGCGCGCGCAATCGTGCATGTAAGCAACGGCGAAACTGTTGCTGTTGCGGCCGGCGCGATCGTTGTCGGTACTGGTATAGGTGGCTTTTTCATTTTCAACGGTATCACGTCGCCTATCGCCGGAGGCGCATCTGTTGTCGCGGGATCATCGGCCTCTGCCCCAGGCGACCTTACCAACGCTGACGATCCCAACGATCCTGTCAGTACCAATGAGCCGGACAAAATCAAATCCGATGCCTTCGACACTACGACAGGCGCATCGCCACAAACGTCCGTAAAGCCATCGTCACCAGTCTCAACCAGCACAAGCGACGACACTAAATCCGATGTCAGCGGCATGACGACAAGCACAACTCCACAAACGTCCGCAACAGTGTCGTTCCCGATCTCAACCAGTAAGAGCGACGGCACCAAATCCGACACCTTGGCTACGACTAGCACAACACTGCGAACATCTGTTACCGCATCATCCGCGCGGCCAACCAGTACGAGCACTGATGACGGCGCTCTCTCGTGGATCGACCATGACAAGGTGGCTGTGATCCTTATCCCGCAGTAGACGCCCTTGGAAGTCTTGGGTAAGCACTAATGCCTTGTCTCCATTACTTGCTGGCAGATGACTGAGTATCATAGGGCTGGCTTGAAGCCGACCGGTGGTGGAAGAAGCGGCTGTGGTGATGGCAAAGGCGGCCAAGTATATGTACGACGTGGTATTAGCCAAGGCCACGTCGGTATCTTATACAGCTACTACTTTCCTAAGGCCCGCTGGGCCAAGGGAGACAACAACGGTCACAGGCATTACTGGGCAAGCATTGTTGTTTGGCTTAACCGCTGGGGCTGCAGAGTAGACGACATAACCTCGACCTGGCCAGTTGGAGTGTCCTTTACAACTGACCATCTAACATGGAGCGATGCTAAGGGTATCTCGTTCAGATTTCCGAAGTTGGTGTCGATATGCCAACCCATCCCCAGATGCAGATTCATGATATTGCTATAGCACCTTTCACAGGCGCTAGTGGAGATAAAGTCTATAGTCGGGTTTTAGTAGGGTGGGAGTCTCTTCCTAAGGAAGCCCTTCAAGCGTTGTCCAACGTGAAGTATGAGAAAACGGGGGTACCATTCGTTGAGGCCAACTTCCAGCGTCAACTAGACGCCGCATATCGAGAAAGCTTTTATCATGGGCTTTCCGATCAGCAAGACTGCTGAGTACCACGGGCTGCAGCCGAGATCTAGCGCCGGCGATGTCCCGACCAGAACCCATAATTAAGGCCAAGGTTCACAGTAGAACAATACATTGACATATATTTATCGTTGCTTTTTACCTAGCTTCTTGGTGTCTTGATGTTTGCATCACCAATCAATACATTCCCGCCGGTAGAAACCATGATCGTTCATGTCCGTGACACTGAGAAGGTCTTATCTGACGAGGAGCCAGCACCAGTGACAATTGAGCCCAAGAAGCTCGCGAAGGTTCAAAATTCGTACGTCAAACATATGCTGTACAAGGAGGCACACCTGCGAAGTATTCAGTCTGAGCTCTCTATCGCCTTGCAGCTTCTCGAAAATGGTTGACAGGTGGTAGTCCACAAACATTTTTACTGTTTGCAAAGGGCATCGCGGATGGCTTCCTCGTGAGTCCAGGTTTCAACACATACATGGGTGCCCTCTTCGGCGATTTGCTATCTTTCTGCGCACCTGATGTTGGGACTGAATTTTATTCAGAGACATAAGATCACGTAACACACGCTGATAATGCAGGAACAGTCAATATACAAAATATTCCCAACGTAAATCTGATATAAGTAGCTGCCCTTCGCTTTTGATGAGGCTAGCCTGACCCAGCAAATCTAGCTTGGGGCTATGCTTTTCTAAGTGTCACAGCACCTGCTTCTTGGTGTTCCCGTTGCGTGCTGTGATCAGGAGAACAGCTAAGACTGAGATCAGAAATCGCTCGTCATTATCTAAAATCGTACCTCGGGCGTCCATCGTGTCTTCCGTCTCGAGAGTATACACCCATTTCTATCTTACCATAGACTACGCATTTGTTGTTCACCATCAAATACCGGAATCTTCATCAAGTCTAAACTACCATAACCGTGACTGACGGACATTATCTGAAAGTTTGAAAGCGAGGGTTCCAACCGCAAGCTCAGTAAGAACGTAGCGCCTGTTCATTGCCGCCGCAGTCGAATCTACGTGTGGGCAGTAGTAATTAAATAGACTGGACTCCGAGAAACGACAGTCTGGGCAGAGGCCATGATTTGAATGGATATGAATCCAGCGGAAAGTCAAGCATTCAAATCTTCCCGCCAGAATTGTCCATGTTGCTTTGGTCTGGTCGAATGCAAAGGGCCCTGTGGATGGCAATGCCGAACACCCGTCCGTCTCTAGTAAAAATGAGTGAGGCTTCCATCAACCAAACCGCAACATATTTCTGGTCATCAGAGGCAGAATACGTTGCGAATACCATGACTACAACAGTGAGAGGCAGCTGAGTGCCTAGAAGCGAACCCCCTCATCACGGCCACGTCACACGTGTTCTGAGGCCAGCACCGCCGGAGAATGCCATCTCAGGGATATTATTAGATACAAGCAAGAAACAACAGAGGGATGGTCCATTCGTCTTGGCGGTCCTGGTCGTCTTTCCCTCCCCACAGATGCTTTTGTACCAACTCCAGGCACGAAGTCGGTCCCAGAGTCAGACGGACTTTCAACCTGTGCTTCTCGCCACACAAAACTACCGTAACGCCGGCGCCACCAAGTATATATTCTGAAGACCTACCATCTCAGTGTTGAGACCTCACAGCAAATGCTAAACTATTTCGCCATCGTCACCTTCGACAAACCTCCACCAACGGTCGTCGGCGCTGTAAACCCCGCCCTGCGAACGGGACTGTCCCCATAGTCTGATGCGGTCTGAATCTTTCCATCAGTCACCCTTGCGCCGATGACCCGAATAGTAGGACGACAACGGCACCTAGCAGAAGTCAGGGCTAGATATCATTGGCGGTAGACTATCAACTCTATCCAATTCTTTTCAGCGAGAACACCATACTGAAAGACCGGGCAAGGACGAGATCACTCACATCCCAGGATTGGTACGCAGTCTGCACAACCAACAACAAGGACGGAACTATAGATGAAGTTCCATTGACAATAGTGCCAAGGACAACCCCCCATTCAGAACGATATAGCCCCTTTGAATAGCACAAGTACCTCTTGCCAAATCTCCATGGTGTTTAAAATACCACAAACCAAGCCCGCAGGCTAAACACCCCAGAGAATTATCGCCCATTGTGGTAGAAGGTTCATCAGTATCATCGATTGCGAGGAATCCGCCTATGGCAGGCCTCGTGCCCCCAAAACACTTACCGCTACCAACCCGCTGATTCAAAAGCCATCCATCCTCAAGATTCGTCATCCGCACAAAACTGCTCCTAAACTATTCGTAATACCCTATCAAAGACGACGGTAGCGATGGCAGACATCGGGCGCCACAAGTCCCGGACTCCCCATCTTCCACGTCATCAAGCACCGCAATCACTCCGGAGTTGTGAATCCCAGCTGCTAATCCTTCTGGTCAAACCTCACGATGGAACTTCGTATTTTGTTGGTTGTCTGCGTTTGGTGGTCTGTCGAGGTCAGCATGGGCCTTTTTAAAAGAATGGAAACACCGTTGGGTGGCATTGCCCAGATCGACCGGAAACACACCTCCCTCATCATCGCCTGTTACTGTAAAACCGCCGTCAGATACCCATACGCTTGCAACACTCAAATAAGCAGTGATGATGGAACAACACCTGCTTTAAGCACCTGTACAACATTAGATAGTAGACTGAAGATTTGAGACTTCACGCTGAATAGGATAAGTTTATCATCAGCTTGGCATGCACATCAAAGTAACGAGGACAGATTGTTGAAAGGGGTATCATTTGATTCTGTAAGTAACGCTTTCCAAACTCCTCATGTCTATGACCAACCCCTAGCACTTTTCGGGATGAGGATTTTCATCTGCAGACGTGCCAGAATCATCCTCCGTGCAACCAACCAAACTGTGAAAAAACAAATGCGACAGGTGTGCAACTTTGTGATTTTGAACGCTTTCGCCCGATGTAACTCCACGCATTGCTCCAAAGCTCAACACAAATGGTTAAGCAATAAATGGTGAATCCTCCTCCAGGTAATGCTCCTCCTCCGACAATCTCCCTTCTCAACCACTCTCCTCGCGACCACTGCTGTAGCCGCTCTCAGCTCCACCAGCTGTAGCAACAGAGCTTCCCGTTGCGGCTGGGAGCTCAGCGCTCAAACTTTTGCTTCGACCTCGCACAGTACCGGCAGCGGCGACTGCGCTGCTGCTGCTGGTGCGGCGAGCGTCTCTTTGAATCGGAATCTTGATCTCCTCGCTACTGTCATCCTCAGCTTCCTCGCTGGGCTCATCCCCATCGTCTGGCTCCTCCCCCTCCTCGTCACCACTGGTCATTTCCTCATCCTCAGGGTAAGTGTTCTCGAAGTTGTGCGGGAATACACGATTACCGGTGGGAGGTCTGGACTCGGCGTCCATGTCGGAGTCGAGGTCGGATGACTCCGAATCATCCGAGTCACTGTCAAAGGCGAAGAACATTCCCGGAGGGGGGAGTGGCGCAGGGTTCAACTTCTTGATAACTCTTGCGGTGTAGTGAATGTGGCTTCTGGGCAGGGCCTTCGTGGTTTGCGGCTGAAGCGGTTTCTCATCTGATGAAGAGTTCAACGGTGATGTAATTCTCTGCACCAAGACGGGGACATCTTCCGGTCGGAGTTTGCATGAAGTTGCAGGCGTGTCTTTCTTTGCGCGCTTGGTTGTTGCAACAACCATGAAGTGGTCATCCGGAACAACGCCGCCCATACCACATGCATCCAAAGTGCTCTCAGGAGTATGCTGGGTTGCGTCCGACCAGGGAAAGTCGGCCTCGATTTCCACGCTCATTTCGTCAGAGTCCGTCTCCTCGGTGGTCACGGCTACACTGGGAACATGCCTTCCGTCGCTAAGGGGGCGATACGGGAGCGCAGAGCCTGAGGCAGTACGGTGGGGGGGTTCGGGTCTGAGAAATCCGGTACTGGTAGACTGCTGTTGTTCTTGGCCAGTCGATGTGATGTAAGAAGATGGAGATGCATCGCCTGGATCGCCGGACAGGTCCGTGCAGAAAGGCGCGCCACTGTAGTAAATGATCGCACCGTCCAAACGCTTCCGCTTTCGTCGCAATGAACCAGATCCGCTGTTTCCCCAGCGCGATTCGCCGTTGTTACTGTCCTCACCGCCAGCTCCGAATGAAGATCCGGTGTCGTCAATAGAGGTCTGCTCTGCAGAGGACGACTGGTGCAGAAACATGGGCTTGTAGTGGAAACCATCGGCCGAGGAAACTTGCTGACCCAGCTTGGACTGGTCTGAGGTGTGCTTGCCTGACGAAGCTGAGTAGTGGCCGCTCTTGGATTGAGTGACCTTGCGCTTCTTTCTCTGGCCATCCGCCTCGGCCTCTTCTGATTCGTCCGAGCGACTCATCTGAGACGTGTCTCCAGAACTGTCACTGCTAAACCTAGTTCCCTCTGTGCCTCCACGCCAGCGGATCTTCCGGCCGTCTGGCGATAGCTGAAATTTTGTGCTCCTCTCCGACACGGCGCTGCGAATGTAGTCCGGCGCAACATTGAGCATATGAAGTTGAGCCATGTTGCAAAGCAAATTTAGGTAGACCCAACCGTCAGCGTCGGGAGAAACGTCGTCGTAGGTTGCGAGACCTGTCAAATGCGGGGGCGCGAGGCCCAAGTGACGGATGTAGTCCATGTTCTCAGTCGGGTTTTGTAGACGGTCGGGATCCAAATCCCGTGGCCGAGTGGGTCGCTGCTCCGGAGGCGGGGCATTGGGCGGCGATGTGCTATTTTGCGTGACAGCCGAGTTGCCTCCTGAATCAGGCTGGTCATTCGAATTTTCAGGTTGCTCATTCGAGTTTGTGGCTGAATTGTTGTCCTTGGATTGGCCTCTCTTCTCCTCAGATGCGAGAATGCGAGCCTCTCGGGAAGGCTCATTCATGGTCGTTAGTGAGTTAGTAGGACCGTGGTTGGTAGTTGTGTGACCAGTCGCAGGTTCCACCATGATGGGCGCCATTTGTGCAATGTTTGCCGCAGACTTGGGTTGGGAGCGGGTGAGGTTTCTCCCAGCAATCCGCCCTGTGAAAATTTGCTCCAGTCGTCGCACAATGAGCTTCTTCTTGTCCTTATCCGTCATAACCATGTGGCGCGGGTACAGCCCCTCTGGAATGTCCTTCAAGTAATTCTGGACCTTCTGTTCCGATGATCTCGCCCTGGAGCTAATCGATGGTCTTGCAAGAGATGTGCCTGATGAGTTGGCGCCCGTTGACATGGATGCGTAGGCAGAATCAACTGGTCGAGAATGCGAACCGGAAGATGACGATGCGTGCTTTGACATAGATCCGGATCCGGAATCGAGTCGGGTGGTGTGCCGTGACTTCTTCCGCGCTGAAGAGGCCTCAGCACTCGGTGTGCTGCTCTCTAAACCGGCCGCAAATTCGCGAAGGGTGCTCTCGAGTTCCCTCTTCTTTCGCTTAGGCAATCCGTGTACCTTGATCTCGAACAGCTTATCCCTCTTCATCATCTGAGGTCCGTTCTGCTTGTGTCGCTTCAATTCATCCTTGAGTTTCTTGATCTCAATGGTCAAGTCGTCGATAACGCTCCGGTAGTCGTCGGCACTGCTGCTGTGTGTAGCGCTAGGCTTAAGGTTACCAGTGACGGGAGGCTTTAGCAGGTGTTGAGGATAACTGCTAGTTGGTTTCGCCTGGTCTTCGTTGGAGGAATCGCTCTCCTTTTGGAAGAAAGGGGGGTCGACTGAACCAGATCTTGTCAGATAATGACCCTTTGATACCCACACCTCAACCCGTATTACTTACCATCCATGGCGTTGGAGTAGTCGGCTGTGGGGTTCTCGTTGTTTTGGTCGAACCATGTCTTCGGATCGCTGGGCCCGGTGTTATGAGATTCACCAGACGATTGCCGACGGGCTGACGAAGAGGATCCGGAGCTGGCTACTGCTGCCGCACGTGATGACGCCGCTCTCTCACTCGCTTGTCGGGCCAGACGATGATGGCGCAATGTTACTGAGGTCTCGGGTGACGAGCGGCGCGGGAGCGGGTGACCTTTCGGCGACGTCGGCGGTTGCCCCGATGGGTGCTTGATGCCAGGCATAATGGCTGCATGAAGTCGTCGGTCTATGGCTTGCTGTGGTATACGGTTGGTGTTATTGCTATAATGACTGCTATAAGTGCGGCATGGAGTTGGTGGTGAGTTCGTCTTCGTAGTGGTAGCCGTGGTGTCGGTTGGTTCCACTTGATCAAGTGGAAGAACAGTGTAGATAGTCGTGAGAGTTGCGGTTGCTTCTGTTGGATTGACAGTTTGTCAGTATGGGGAAAGTCGAAGTGAATACAGCGGTTTGGTCGTATCGAGGTGGAAGGCTGTATATGTCAAGGCTGAGGATGGGCTGTGATTGGCTGAAGCATCGATCGATCGATCGAAGGTTCAGAGCGAGGTATGACGACAACCTTCGTCAGAAGTCGACACTGTGGGCGGTAGCACCTACAAAATTGGCAACAACCTGCGCCTCAGACGACAGATAAAACTATTCAAAAGCCCAGTGGTGAGCCGCGAGATTTGTTCGCGCTACCGTTGAAACAGGCGAAATCCCACGGTCGCGAGCAGTCTCGTGAGACCAATCGCCGGGAATAGGCGCGGTGGCAGTCAGTCGTCGTCGGCGTTAAAGAGGCCACACAGGCCGCAGACCTCTGCGTTCGCCTTTTGGTCGGGTGTCAGGGGCTGGAATAAATAGTTCAGGGTCGAAGTAAAAGGAAGCTGTCGAGAGAAGTTGTGAGGCGCCGTGTGGGTATTTCGGTGGGGTTCGGTGCGAAAGAAATCGTCTCCGCGTCCCTGTGGGAAGCCAAGGATCACTCAAAAGTGGCGATGGGGCGCTTCCTGGGTCGGGTCATTCAGAAGACCAGCGCAGACGTCCGGTCCAAGAAGGTAAACAGAGCTTCAATTGCTGGCCCGGAACCGTGACAGAAAGGCTGAATTCGAAGTTTGGAATCGGTTTCTTAAGATGGCAAAGCGGTTCAGGTCGGGTTCCTGGCGGGTGGATTCTGTTGGTCGTCGCGTCGGCCGTGGACGTGTGGATGCCGGCTTCACAGGCGTATGCAGGGCGAATGTGTTGTAGGTGTCGTGGGCCAGTTCCAGATGGCTATATGGAGGAACAGACGAGGTCGTTGCGAATTCGTACCTCTTGAATGCTGAAATTCGGAAACCTCGACGGCGAGGGGCGAAAAAGATGTGAGAAGGCAAGAAAAGAGCCGAGCCTGGTGTTGGGAAATCGTTGGCACATGGACCCCACGCCCCTCTCCGACGAACAACAAAATCGGACAATACAAGGCCAATCTGCGTTGGGTCAAAGACAAGGAAAATGAGCTTGGGGAGGGCGGAAGAAGGCACGAACGGCACACCCTGGCCCCGGGGACCATTCACGAGCTACCTGACCTTACATACGGTACAGCCAAGCAGGCAATCCATCCATCCATCCATCAATCAATCAATCCAGCCAGCGCCGATACCCTAGATTTAGTGTCGGGGGAGGGGGTGCAGGGCAAAGGCAGCAAGAGGCAAGGGCTCATGAATAGGACAGGATGGGACCACAGCAATGGATCGCACCACCCCATGCCTTGCCCTACACCTCTCTGTGTCTGTGGGAGGAAGTGAGTGTGAGTGTGAGTGTGAGTGTGGTTGCTCTGTCACTCTGGCGCGCCTGCAAGAGACAAGAGACGGGAAAAAGGCAGTGGTGAGCGAGGTCGAGTTCAAGGTTGCGAAACGTTTCGAGAGGTCTAGCCAGTTCCCCACGCGCAGGTGGCAGGTGCGGCCCCACACCAGCTCGAATGCTCTTTGGTCTGATCTCCAGGGAAAACCAGGGGTCTTGGGATCGGAGTCAATCGAAGAGGACGGCGGGGCTACTGATGGGGGGTGCGATGCGAGAAAGGGGGCGTGTGTTTTGCTTTTTTGGCTGTTCTTTCCGCGGCTGGACGCACCACCTACCACACGGAGTACGTACCCGGCGTATTTGGCAGCAAGCAGCAAGCAGCAAGAAGAATGGATGCATGGAATGGAAGCACCCAGGCCCTTCAATGCCCTGTGGCCAGTCTCTCCTACCTTCTGCGACTCACTTCGTTCGCACTTCCATTGCCAGAGTCGGGCGCACCTGCCGACGTCACGTGTACCCGACCTGACTGATTGCGGTGGCAACTTCCAGAACTTCCCGGTGCAAACCTGTCGATGGTCGATATTGACAGCAAGCAAAGTTGGCCAAGGTTTTCTGTCGTGGACCCCAAGCCGGCTGGCTGTCCTGGCCCGACCGTACCCTTCGCCGTTTTTACTAGGTGCTCAGCTTGTCCAAGGGAATCCGCGGTAAGGATCAGTTGTCCAGCTGAAGCAGTCCGTCAGCCAAAGCCATGTGCTCACGACCAGACCCCGAACTCTGGGTGGCTTCAGGCCAGCTCGTCCAATCATCGCACACTGCGATTGAAGAATTCGAGAGCCGATCGTTGCTTGATCGCGGTGCAGGCCAAAAAGAAGTTCACTTGTTCCCGGCGTTTAAGGCTGTGCTCGTTTCCCGTATGCACGCCAGAACACCCTCCGGAGACAACGGCAGCACACCCACAGCTCTCCGACGTTCAGCCTGTCGTGCGTGATTGCCGGAATCTACAGAGTAAGGACTGACACGACCTGGAACACCTCGATTGACGATGGGTCGCTACAACTTCTGCACCGTGGAACATGCCTTTACCGAGACAGAGTGCAACAGGCAGGGCAGGCCAAGCCATCCAAGCCGTTCAATCTCGACCACCGCTAGTGCTCGCTTACGTCACGCTAATCCTACTGCAACTTCGCAGCCAGACCGCGCAAACCAGGTCGGCTTCGGATGTTATCAGCCCAAACAGGCTCCATCGTTGCCTCTGTGCCGACTCATTCATCGCCAGCGAGACCAGCCCGGGCCCCGATCATCTGCCGGTGCGGGCCACATCGACTGAGAGTCGGCACTCTGCGGACGGCGCGCTATGCTTTCTTCTTCTGCCCTACGTCGCTGGGAATCCCTCTGTCACCTTTCGGGGCCCAGCGGGGATTTACGGCGCCTTGGACGAAAACCATCCAATGGCACAGCATACTTAGCATAGCATAGCATTGCTGGGCTGGCAGCTGCTTTTGGTAGATTCCTCCCATACTCCTATGTGCTGGAGGTGGTCAGCCGGCCGTGCATTCGTCAACGGAGAATCCCCGAGTCCGGGGCCCTGTTGCTGCAGCCAATCCCCGGCCCTCGCTTGATTACACGGGCCACATAGTGCTCCGTCGCTTGAGGGCGAGTCCGCAATTCCGTGAGCCCACGATCTCGCTTTTGCCGTGTCATCGAGGCTTCGAGCACCCGGCCGCCGCTCCGACTTACAGCTTTAGTTGGCCTTCCTCGCTGTTAATGAAATAACTATCGGCTGAGCACACTCGCATAGCCCGCCCGGTCTCATTTCATGCCACCTCTCATCGCCGATGACTTTTCGCGGCCCTCCAGAACAACGAATCCGTTGCCCTCCCTTTCCCGTGGCTCCCAACCATCCTTCTACAACCAGCCGACTTTCGAAAAATCGCCCGGCCCAGACAGACAGACTCGGCCAGTCAGGCTGATCATCGACGTCGGAATCAGCGAGCGCCAACGAACGAGGTTATTCCCACCGCCTGCTTACCACCACCCACCGGCACGCATCACACCGCGACTTCGATTCGATGCAGTCTTCCAAAAGCGTTCTCACCCGGTCAATCAACTGTCATGGGATCTGCCAACCTTCATGTCGGCCTTCATTCTCAGCACAGCACTGCGTACACCCCTAGGACCCTTGAGGCTTCCTTCACTGTCCCCGCCAGACCCAGAACCGTTTCGCTGGACCAGTCAGCGTCTCCGGAAGCGCGTCCGTGTTCGCCCTCCGTTCCAAGGAGCCCGATGATTGGCTGCACAGTCCTCCTCTCGCATCATTGCAGCTTGATCGACAGGCCAGCCCTTGCACCATGGCACGTCACCGTCTGACTACTCTGCCGCCGTACTCAGCGCGCCAGCACGTCGAAAAGGGAGGAGGGGCCTTCTCTCGTCGCTGCCAGAGCGCGCGGTACATTCCCTTGCCACCGCACCACGCCTTTTGCTGGTCTGATCTGAGTTGAGCATATGAAGATCTTTTTCCTCTTGCAGTACGTACCTAGTAAATGTCACTCAGGCACAAACCCTGGTCACCTCCCGCTTTTTTTTTCAGGGTCCTCACGGGCAGAGAGAGAAAATTCGACCAATTTCTATGAGGTACGATTATGACGAAAATCAAGGCAGACGTGCAGCCGCCCGGTCACATTCCAAGCTTCGTGCGGCACTCGGCAAAGTCTCGGCTTGAGGGCTGCAAAATGACGACACACGGTTCTTCGACCGCCTTAACCCAAGACATGTCGTTGAAATGCCTCAGAACGGTGTGCATCGACTCCGACCCGGAGTATCGGAGTGGGTATGGCCGGCGATGGAGATGTACGGCATGACTGGACGGCCGGTGCCGAAGTGAAAGAACGAACGAACGAACGGCCCGCCTCGTGCAGCCTCTCACAGCTCCGCCCGGTGTTCAGTATCGGAGCCGGGCGTTTGGCCATGCCTGTGGGAGAGAGAAACAGCGCTAAGCGGGTGTCAACCAATCAGCCAGAGGCGTCCCTCTTCACTCCATTAAGGTTCCGCCCCTCGATCTCTGCGAGCCGCATCGTTAGCGTGGATCGGGAGCATAGGGGGACCCTTCGTGCAGCTCGCGCCGCCGCATCCACGTCGCCCGTCGCAATACCCGGCTGGCCTCGAT